GTGATCCGGCGAGTGACCGGAGTGAATTTGTGAGTGACTGGAGTGAACCTGTGAGTGACTGGAGTGAACCGGTGAGTGACTGGAGTGAACCGGTGAGTGACTGGAGTGATCCGGTGAGTGACTGTAGTGAACCTGTGAGTGACTGTAATGAACCGGTGGGTGACTGCAGTGAACCGGTCAGTGACTGGAGTGAACCTGTGAGTGACTGGAGTGAACCGTTGAGTGACTGGAGTGAACCGGTGAGTGACTGGAGTGATCCGGTGAGTGACTGGAGTGATCCGGTGAGTGACTGGAGTGATCCGGTGAGTGACTGTAGTGAACCTGTTAATGACTGGAATGAACCGGTGAGTGACTGGAGTGAACCGGTGGGTGACTGCAGAGAACCGGTGAGTGACTGGAGTGATCCGGTGAGTGACTGGAGTGATCCGGTGAGAGACTGGACTGAACCTGTGAGTGACTGGAGTGAAACTGCGAGTGACTGGAGTGATCCGGTGAGTGACTGGAGTGATCCGGTGAGTGACTAGAGTGATCCGGTGGGTGACTGGAGTGAACCTGTGAGTGACTGGAGTGATCCGGTGAGTGACTGGAGTGAACCGGTGAGTGACTGGGGTGATCCGGTGAGTGACTGGAGTGAAGCTGTGAGTGACTGGGGTGATCCGGTGAGTGACTGAAGTGAACCGGTGAGTGACTGAAGTGAACCGGTGAGTTACTGGAGTGAACCGGTGAGTGACTTGGAGCGATCCGGTGAGTGACTGGAGTGAACCTGTGAGTGACTTGGAGTGATCCGGTGAGTGACTGGAGTGAACCGGTGAGTGACTGTAATGAACCTGTGAGTGACTTGGAGTGATCCGGTGAGTGAGTGGAGTGATCTGGTGAGTGACTGGAATGAACCTGTGACTTGGAGTGATCCAGTGAGTGACTGGAGTGAACCTGTACGTGACTGGAGTGAACCGGTGAGTGACTGGAGTGATCCGGTGAGTGACTGGAGTTAACCTGTAAGTGACTGGAGTGAGCCTGTGAGCGACTGGAGTGAAACGGTGAGTGACTGGAGTGAACCTGTGAGTGACTTGGAGTGAACCGGTGAGTGACTGGAGTGAACCGGTGAGTGGAGTGATCCGGTGAGTGACTGGAGTGATCCGGTGGGTGACTGTAGTGAACCTGTGAGTGACTGGAGTGAACCGATGAGTAACTGGAGTGAGCTCGTGAGTGACTTGGAGTGATCCGGTGAGTGACTGGAGTGAACCAGTGAGTGACTGGAATGAACCTGTGAGTGACTTGGAGTGAACCGGTGAGTGACTGGAGTGAACCGGTGAGTGGAGTGATCCGGTGAGTGACTGGAGTGAACCTGTGAGTGACTGGAGTGAATTTGTGAGTGAGTGCAGTGATCCGGTGAGTGACTGGAGTGATCCGATGAGTGACTGGAATAAACCTGTGAGTGACTTGGAGTGATCCGGCGAGTGACCGGAGTGAATTTGTGAGTGACTGGAGTGAACCTGTGAGTGACTGGAGTGAACCGGTGAGTGACTGGAGTGAACCTGTGAGTGACTGGAGTGAACCGGTGAGTGACTGGAGTGAACCGGTGAGTGACTGGAGTGATCCGGTGAGTGACTGGAGTGATCCGGTGAGTGACTGGAGTGATCCGGTGAGTGACTGTAGTGAACCTGTGAATGACTGGAATGAACCGGTGAGTGACTGGAGTGAACCGGTGGGTGACTGCAGAGAACCGGTGAGTGACTGGAGTGATCCGGTGAGTGACCGGAGTGATCCGGTGAGAGACTGGACTGAACCTGTGAGTGACTGGAGTGAAACTGCGAGTGACTGGAGTGATCCGGTGAGTGACTGGAATGAACCGGTGAGTGACTGGAGTGAACCTGTGAGTGACTGGAATGATCCAGTGAGTGACTGGAGTGATCCAGTGAGTGACTGGAGTGATCCGGTGAGTGACTAGAGTGATCCGGTGGGTGACTGGAGTGAACCTGTGAGTGACTGGAGTGATCCGGTGAGTGACTGGAGTGAACCGGTGAGTGACTGGGGTGATCCGGTGAGTGACTGGAGTGAAGCTGTGAGTGACTGGGGTGATCCGGTGAGTGACTGAAGTGAACCGGTGAGTGACTGGAGTGATCCGGTGAGTGACTGGAATAAACCTGTGAGTGACTTGGAGTGATCCAGCGAGTGACCGGAGTGAATTTGTGAGTGACTGGAGTGAACCTGTGAGTGACTGGAGTGAACCAGTGAGCGACTGGAGTGAACCGGTGAGTGACTGGAGTGATCCGGTGAGTGACTGTAGTGAACCTGTGAGTGACTGGAATGAACCGGTGGGTGACTGCAGTGATCCGGTGAGTGACTGGAGTGATCCGGTGAGTGACTGGAGTGATCCGGTGAGTGACTGTAGTGAACCTGTGAATGACTGGAATGAACCGGTGAGTGACTGGAGTGAACCGGTGGGTGACTGCAGAGAACCGGTGAGTGACTGGAGTGATCCGGTGAGTGACCGGAGTGATCCGGTGAGAGACTGGACTGAACCTGTCAGTGACTGGAGTGAAACTGCGAGTGACTGGAGTGATCCGGTGAGTGACTGCAATGAACCGGTGAGTGACTGGAGTGAACCTGTGAGTGACTGGAATGATCCCGTGAGTGACTGGAGTGATCCGGTGAGTGACTGGAGTGATCCGGTGAGTGACTAGAGTGATCCGGTGGGTGACTGGAGTGAACCTGTGAGTGACTGGAGTGATCCGGTGAGTGACTGGAGTGAACCGGTGAGTGACTGGGGTGATCCGGTGAGTGACTGGAGTGAAGCTGTGAGTGACTGGGGTGATCCGGTGAGTGACTGAAGTGAACCGGTGAGTGACTGAAGTGAACCGGTGAGTTACTGGAGTGAACCGGTGAGTGACTTGGAGCGATCCGGTGAGTGACTGGAGTGAACCTGTGAGTGACTTGGAGTGATCCGGTGAGTGACTGGAGTGAACCGGTGAATGACTGTAATGAACCTGTGAGTGACTTGGAGTGATCCGGTGAGTGAGTGGAGTGATCCGGTGAGTGACTGGAATGAACCTGTGACTTGGAGTGATCCAGTGAGTGACTGGAGTGAACCTGTACGTGACTGGAGTGAACCGGTGAGTGACTGGAGTGAACCGATGAGTGACTGGAGTGAACCGGTGAGTGACTGGAGTGATCCGGTGAGTGACTGGAGTTAACCTGTGAGTGACTGAAGTGGACTGGTGAGTGAATGGAGTGAACCTGTGCGTGACTGGAATGAACCAGGCGAGTGACTGCCGTGAACCTGTAAGTGACTGGAGTGAGCCTGTGAGTGACTTGGAGTGATCCGGTGAGTGAGTGGAGTGATCCGGTGAGTGACTGGAATGAACCTGTGACTTGGAGTGATCCAGTGAGTGACTGGAGTGATCCGGTGAGTGACTGGAGTGAACCTGTGCGTGACTGGAGTGAACCGGTGAGTGACTGGAGTGAACCGATGAGTGACTGGAGTGAACCGGTGAGTGACTGGAGTGATCCGGTGAGTGACTGGAGTGAACCTGTGAGTGACTGAAGTGGACTGGTGAGTGAATGGAGTGAACCTGTGCGTGACTGGAAGGAACCAGGCGAGTGACTGCCGTGAACCTGTAAGTGACTGGAGTGAGCCTGTGAGTGACTGGAGAGAATTGGTGAGTGGGTGAATTATCAACCTGACTGCTCCACTATGAATTCCATCATCCAGTGAAGTGAAGTCGGAACTGGGTGCTCCACCCCGCCTCTCCCCCCCCCCCCATGTGACAACAGTTCTACAACGCTGGCCTCATGTGTGCTTTGCATGCCTCTGTGGTAGCAATACTCGAGAGTTAAAGAGCTCTCAAGCCAAATTTATATTCAGACCACACAATCCGTAAAAGCTATCACCCCAACCGTTGGGAAAGAACCATCTGAGGTCCCAATCAAAACCATCAGCTTACAGGGATCACCAATTTTTTTTCCAAAAATCATAAGCGTCTAAGTCAGATGAATAACACAGCCGGTCAACGACAGGTCGTGGCTGTGCCAAGTGGAGGAATACGCTGTGACTATGGAAAATGATATCGTTAAATATGAATGGAGGAGGAAATGTGGAATTGACAGCCTTGTGTGGTATTATCATTGGCTGGGTGTTTTTTTTTAGATGTTGAACGTGACCGGGTTTTGTCACCACAAGTTCAGGTCAGGGGTGGCCGACAGTCGTCAGAATCACAGCAATGAATTGAACACTGAGGGGAGCGAATAATTGCAACTCGTCCTAATGTATTTCATTACATGTACAACTTCGTCCTGTGAAAAACATGGTAGCGATATGTCCGTGGACTTCACTTTTCCCGCACTAACATTTGACCACACAATACTGTAGTGTATTTTGAACTGTAATAATTGATTTTAAAATTAGCCTGTTTGCTCCTTTTATACGTGTTGAACTTATTTCGCACCGTATGTAGCCAACCGTGCTAACATATATATTATGTTTACACTTCCTTTTGCGAATGAGTGCTCTGTAGTGACTGCCAAATATAATATTGTTTCAAGTCTTAAACCTTAAAAGGCATGGGTTATGCTGACATCTGGAGCCGTTTTTCTCAATGGTCACAGCACATACGTGGCCTTCTGGATGTACAGAAGGCCACGTATGGGGCCCTCTTATTCACGCGTGCCAAAAATACACAATGGCCACTTTGTGGAGCCCTTTTTTACGTGGGGCCCGGGCGCAAATTCTGTCGACTGCAGCTGTGTTGATGATGTGTAGTAGTTTACACGAACACACTGACCACGTGGCCTATGCGAGGTAGGAGGCAGTGTGTGGTGTTGCCTGGCAAAATGTCATAATTGGCGATCCCCGGTCTAACCAAGTGGGAACTGGAGATACATGAGGTGCGGATAGCCCGAGGTAATTGCTGTATCGCTCCGTGGGTTACAAATAAATTAATCCATCTGCTGCCACAGGCAGTGCAGAGGACATGTAGACGCCGATAACGACACGTTCTCACCTTTATCGTGGTGTGTCTAGACTCATTGTAAAATTTCATTGCAAGATTGTAAATGGATTTATCCGTGACCACGTATGGCCCTTGCTGCTTGATACTTCTGGGCACGTTCCAGGCAAGGCCCTGAATCACGGGCTGGAAGGTGGACTGTTCGACGATCGAGCCGTCGCTTCTGAAGGCCGCCACAGCAAGCCTGGGCGTGAGCAGCTCTCCGCAGCTTATGGAGTTGAGATTCTTCATTTGCAACACTGCCTCAGAGAGCTTGGCTTCCAGCTGAGGCTGGGAGAGACTGATGCCCTGGCCATCCCTCACATTGGATACGTCCACAGCAAACACAATGTCCATAGAACATTCTGCAACAACAACAAAACAACCAAGATAAATGCCGGTGTTTGATAATAATACATTCTAGTGTGGTTATTGATAGCAGTACTCACCGGATACACATATGTTCAACCAAAACATTGACATTTAAGGACACAGTAGTCCATGGTTTGTACAGTATGAGCTTTTCTTGGTATATACGCTACGTAAATACTGAAGACAAGAATTGAGTAAACACTTCCCCCAAGATACTATTGTTGAAATGACTCCACTCGCTCTCCCCGAACACCGACCATTAAATCCTGCTCCTCCTCCACCAGTTCCTCAAATGACTGAATTTTAATGGGAAGGTATCACCGTGTGCACTTTTCACTCCGCACGCAGAGAACACACAAAAACCTCACTCGCAAGCACCGTGACAAGCCCTGCTTCCTCCTGCCCCTGCTCTTTGGGCAGACTCATGTGCCTTGTGGAAGGGTCGAGTTATAGGGGTTGTCCACGGTTGTGAAAATGAACACAGATCAATACAGTCCTGTGCTTCAGAGTAGTGGACCGCTTTGGAGAGATGGCACGCTCAGCCACTCTTTCACTTATTTTATCTTTACATTACACACCAGTATGCAGTCTTACGTCACAGTTAGTGTTAATGGGACCCATTTGTTCCGGGCATGACTTTGAAGTAGGACTCGTTTAATTGGCCAGGATAAATCCTACCACATGTGGAGGACAGGGGGGACGAATCCATTCCCTTATTTGGAGAGAACTCCCTGTGAAATTGAGGACTCAATAAGCAAAATAAATCAATAATAACCACTAAACTGCATATTATTTAACATTTTGCACGAGTGGGCAGCGCTTATTCCAAATGCTAATTGTTCCCAGCCGTGTTTCCTTCTATTAAGGAAATATAGCTTTGCAATAACTTGCTGATATAATGGCGTAACGATTTAATAGCTTAACTATTTACTAACTTGATGTGCGCGATGTGACGGATGTGTTTAGTTTTGGTGTCGTTATGTGCGCGTGTGCACACACTACCAGTCGCACAGTATCACTAAACCATTTTGCTTTTAAGATGATGCACGTTACTCCGGATATCCTCAATTGCTGGCCGCAACTCGAGCATGCACTGCAGCAGTCGTGCACCACACAGGGATGCCAAGTTGTCGGTTTAAAACTCATCGTGGCAATCTCTCATCGGGCGCATCTGGATGAATATGCCTCACGGCAGAATCCTCCCGTCGAGGTTGAATTGGAACTTCACGCCAGTCCCGCAAGTTTGCTTATTCTAACACCTGTCATCTATGTAGAATTCTCGGGTTGCAAGCAGGGCCGGATTAAGCTTTTGTAGGCCCCTGGGCTACAGGTACTGTGAGGCCCCCAGTAATATTTTGAAAAGGAAAAAAAGTTAAAGAAAAATAAAACGTATTTTTACAAGGGTAACAACAAATACAATTCAGCATTGGCAAATTAAATAACTTTTAACTTCATCTCTGGAGGCCCTCCAGCTGGCGGAGGCTCCTGGGCTGCAGCCCCTAAAGCCCCCACGCCTTTATCCGGCCCTGGTTGCAAGCCTTGTCACGGACATATTTCTCAATCAGCCTAGGTCTATCGAAAAAAAGTGCAGTCGTGTGCTATAATCAACAATACCAGTACCAAGTCTCAGTCAAAATTAAATCCTGCCACCCGAACACAGATGTCACATTTCCGGACAGTTCAGCTCGAACACGCACAGGTGGCAACTCTCGTGACAACTCCAGACTGGACTGCGCCAACAGAGTAGCAGTGCAGCCCTGCCAGCCTATCGGAATGGAATGTACTTACTCACACTCCCGCAGGTGTACCAGCTCACAGTGAAGCCTCGTCCATCTCACAGAATGGACAGCACATCTTACACAGCGACCCAGCCTATACAAACACTTCAAGTCTACAGGGTTTAGTCTGCATCTGTATTTTAACGTGCGACTGTTGAGGTCGGTACAACAAGCAGCCTCGTTCAAAATTCGATCAAAGCACAACATTTGGTCCAGATGTAGTGCAATTTATATTGATGAAGCTCAGAGCGCTCATCCTTACTGATGTTGCTGATAGGTGTCTTAGCGTTTTTGAGGGTTCCAGCGATTTCCGATCTTGCCACGTCTGCAGTAATGTGTCCCAAACCCTTAAGGGCTACCTCGACCTGGGCAATGATACCATCCACTGGGATGTGTTTAGGGGTGACTGCGAAATTAAACCCTATGAGCTTTATCAATTAAAAGAGAGATGACATCGTCATCCTCTCAGCCGACAAGGACAATGCCACAGTCATCATGGGCAAAACCACATACAATAACACAATTCAGGACCTATTTAATGATGGTAGCTATACAAAAATTTTAAAGAGATCTCACCAACAGCCTCTTTACGAAAACCAACAATATCATCACTGATTCGACATCTTTAATTGAACCAACCAAGCAGTTATCCTTAAAACCCTCTGCTGCGAGACCACCCAGACTGTATGGTTTGCCAAAAATCCATAAAGAAGGTACACCCTTTCGTTCTATCGTCTCCACCATTGACTCACCCACCTACAAACTGGCTCGATTTCTGTATGAGACCTTACAACCATTCACTGGTAAGACCACCTCAGCTGTACTTAACTCAGCTCACTTGCTATTGCTAATTAAGGACATCTCACTATCTCCAGGTGATGTTCTCGTTAGTTTCAATGTAGTCTCTTTGTTTCCCAAAGTTCCTGTGCCTGACACCATTGCAATCATTGAAGATTTGGTCCAACAAGGACTGAATGCTGATGTACTGGCCCTGGTGAGACACTGCCTCACCAACACTTACACCACCTGGAATGGAACATTCTACAAACAAGTTGAAAGTACCCCAATGGGTTCTCCCTTATCTCCAGTTGTCGCCAATGTTTTCATAGAAAATTTTGAGACAGACGCCATCCAGGCATCTACTCTATGTCCGTCCTTGTGAAAGAGGTATGTAGATGACACATTCGTCATCTGGCCACATTGTCGACCAGCTCTGAACCAATTCCTTAACCACATCAATACCATACATCCAGCCATCAAATTCACCATGGAGGTGGAAAAGGATGGCAAGCTACCATTCTTGGATGTTTAAATCGGAAAGAGACCAGATGACTCAATGGGCCACTCTGTCTACAGGAAAGCCACCCATACGGATGCCTATCTAAAACCTAACTCCCACCACCATCCATCCCAGAAGAATTCCCTCATCAAAACTTTACACCATAGAGCTCGATGTATTTCCGACCATCATCACCTAGCCGGTGAACTGAAGTACATACACCAAGCTCTCAAGACGAATGGATATTCATACCACACAATCCGTAAAGCTATCACCCCAACCGTTGGGAAAGAACCATCTGATGTCCCAATCAAAACCATCACCTTGCCATACATAGCAGGGGTCACAAACATTTTTTCCAAAATCATGAGCAAACACAAGATCCAGGTTCGATTTAACACAGTACATAAAATTCGTGTTCTGATCCCATCTGTGAAGCATGTGATCCCTGACATGCAATACCCCGGCGTCTACAAACTAAGCGGTGTCTGCAGCAGTAATTACATTGGGGAAACTTAGCGACATGTCTTGGATCGTGTTCGTGAACATAAGACAGATCTGAAACATGGTAGGAGCAATACCTCGGCCATGGCTGATCATTGTTTTAATGCGGTTGGCTCACACGAAATTAATTTCTCTAAGACGAAGGTACTTTGCAAACCCACTGGCTATCGACAAAGATTCGTCCATGAAGCCAGCCATATATACAGACATAGACACAATTTCAACCGAGAAGATGGGTACAAACTGAGCAACCAGTTTAAGTAATAACTGGCTGTAATGTTGCCATTTCAGCACTGTCTGTTGCTCACCAGTTTTTAACCCCCCCGCCCCCCATCACATTAACATAACCTTCTCCGCCCTACATGTAGCAGCCCACCGTTTTTAATCCCTGACATTAACATAAGCTCCTCCGCCCATGCTGCCCCAGGGCCCTTGTGCCCCGCCCACTCCATTCTGACACTTGGGCTACGCCCATTTTAACCCTTTATAAACAGTTTGCCTTTAGAGGCTAACCCCTCTTTATTCTCCACCGGATGATGACCGCTTGTGATGCAATTGAAACGTCCTAGTTTTTTTTATATTTTCTTTGAACCTATGTACGTAACTTTACCAAAAGACCCAAAGAATAATTAGATTCATAATAAAGGTTTTTCGGTTAGATCGCGTTATTTATAAATGTTTCATAACCCTCCACCACCCGACACGGCCAAACAGTAAAAAAATGTGTTATGTTTACAAAAGACAAATAAATTTTGATTTAAAGCTTTCGTGACTGCAGGGATTCATATTCTTGGTTCTTTCGGTAAAGTCACGTAGAAGGGAAACAATAAAATAATAAAAATATAAAACAATTAAATTCTCACGACGTTTCGATTGCAACACAAGCAATCATCATCAGGTGTGAAAACCACAGCAATAAAATTTGAAAAAAAGTGGCGGTTTTTTTAACGTTAGCACCACGGAGAGCGATTTGGCAGTTATTCAGATGGAAGAGTCCATCTATGTTCGGAAAAGAGGAGGGGGGAGACGAAAATAATGGATGCGGTCTGAAAGTCAATCATTGGAAGGATTTAATAAACCTTTTTAATTGTTCACGCTTATGGTGGCTTTCAGATCGAAAGAACCAAGAATATAAAAGACAAATAGTTCACTACTTTAGCCCACCGGTGTGTTGAAGAGTGAATCAACATCATTTTACATTTTTAGTACTAGCATTTTTAGTACAACTTTTCGCTGGTAATTACATCCAGCATCATCGGGCAATTTGCCAGAATGGTGAGGCCCTCCATTTGCTCCTGGTCTTAAATAGAGCAGCACGGTGACGTCATCTTTTAACCCAATCTGGTGCAGTGATTTGAGGCGGAGAGGGGGAGGGTATTGTAATTATATAATACTGTATATTGGTAATCATTCAATTGTTATTCATTGGTATTTGTTTCCCCTATAAGGAATTGTAATTGTAATATATATTTTTTTCATAAAAAACGCGATCTAATCCAAAAACTTATATTATGAATAATATTGGTCGCGAAAGCCTACGTGTTAAAATAATTATATTCCTTGAGTCTTTCGGTAAAGTCATGTCGATAGAAAAAATAATAACTTTAAAATAATAAAAATGAAAATAAAGTGACTTTACCGAAAGACCCAAAGAATATGAATTCCTGCAGTCATGAAAGCTTGAAGTCAAGCTTTAATAATTACATTATTATCCAAAGTAACTATCATAATAAGTGTTTAACTGTGATGATAGGATCATGCACTTGGCAGACACAAGCTAACATTTCACCCGTCATCCAACATTATCTGATACGTGCACAGAGCTGTGCGGTCCGGGTTAGCTCAGAAGCACTTGCACAGTCCTCAACGCGTTCTTACGAACTCACAATGTACGAGTTCATGGCAGACAACACTGGCCTTAGGTAGCACAGACCACCACGATGACCGACTGTGTCCAGTCAATAAGCCCCCAACCCAACTGAACAAAAGGAAATAAGTTGTGAACTGCAGAAGAAATTCATTTGATTCTAATAAAACGCCAGATAGTAGGTAATACAGAAAGTGGTTCTCTTGCTGAGACTGAGGAATGTTCTCCAGAAACTTTAACGTGGCATTTTTACTACTTTAAAAAAATCTACACAGACTAACATAAATGTTTATGGAATTCTCATCCTTTCACCTTCGATCCTTGGCCCCTACTTGCTTGTAAACTGATATCCCTAAAGTAAAGTTTGAATGGTTTTCATTCTGTAATGCGAACGTATACATTTTACCAAATGTTATGCTTTTATCACATTTTTAAGACTTATTTCGTTGTGCTGACCTTATATTCAGTGTACACATCGACCTAGGAATGTTTTATGGCTTACTATTTCAATAGTAACATATTTGAAACTGCATCCCACCAAACATAGTGCTCACATTTTGCAGAAACGGAATGCACCCGATTACATACAACACGGAGATGGAGCGATGAAATCAGTTCATGTGCAAGTGCTGGATGGATCATTGCATCGTAGGATCAAAGGAAAGGAGACCTTCATCCAGCAGTGCATTGATCATGGCTGATGATGTCCTATTGGCCATGTGAAAAAGAGCTTCATTAGCTAATCGGTATCTTCCTGCAGTCGAAATAAAGGGTCTGATAAAGAATACATTTTGAACAATTATCCCTGGAACAGCTACACTAGCTTATCCCCAAACACCACGGCCGCCTCAGTGTCATCAGTTAAGGCCACAGCTGGAGTCCCATACACAGCAAGACTTGAGGTCAGTGTTGTGACATTTATAAAATTGTAGTGACATCGCGGATGTGACTGTGTGGTGCCGGCCCTAGAGAGACACGGCGTGCGATGCACTTACATCGCGGACATCACGTATGTAGCGACATCTTAGATGTCACTGGGTAATGCTGGCTCTAGCGAGGCACGGCATGCGATGTATTGCCATCGCAGACACCCCGTATATGTGGGTGTAGTACCAGCCCCAGAGGCGGCTCGGTGAGTGCTGGGTCATAGCGATCAGTGACACCACGCGTAACGTGCAGTGCGGACTCCTACAGAAGGGAGTATGAGTGTCAGCCACGGGATGAGGTTACCCCAGGCCATGGCACTCTGGTTGACCCTGGAAGGCACGTGACAAGTTAGAGCTACACTGGGGCCCCAAGTGGGGGCTGGGGGGGGGGGGGTTGTCACGTGCTGGGGCGAGATCCTGCTAGAGGGTTCGAGAAGGTGGTCGTGGCCAAGGGCGGAGCCAGACATGGCCAGAAAGGATATAAACCGGGTCCCCGAGAGGGACCGGGGTTCTGCGTTGCTGTTGTCATCTGAAGATGTACGTTCTATGTCCAAGAAGAAGTCACCAACACGTGGACCTGGACCCAAGCTGGGGTCAGGTCCGTTGTCACTACTCCCAATGTAACTAGTGTAGTTAGCCTGGTGGTCCACCACCATAGGATGTTATCTGGTAAAGGGGAAGTTACCCCTTTGTGTTAAGTGTGTTGGTATTTTTAGGCACATCTTTCTTGTACCAGAAAATAAGCTACGCCCTTAAGTTTATAGGAGCAAAAAGTCTGATGCGTGTTTGAGGTGTCTTAAATCAAACTGTTTATTTCTTAGTTGCACAAAATCGAGCTTATTCTAAAGTTATATCTTTGCCTGTTCACGTACTGTATCACTTCGTCGCACGTACTGTATCACCCTGCCGCATGGTCCAAAGACTGCATCCACTCGCTCCTCATCAGCTCTTCTCATAGCCCCCCCCCCCCCCCCATTTATACTGTTAAAAACCAGAAGTGACGCCATGGGTTCAACCAACGGAGCGTCTAACCACAGGGGGGTTTCTAAAGAGTTGGAATGTTCCAAATGAAATATGACCAGTCCGTCAACAAATGTATGACGGATGTACATCAAATGTATATACAGAAATAATACACTCACTTTCTGTCTTATGGCTCTTACAGTATTAATAAATGCGTTGCTTCCAAAGAGTACGTCTGCGACTCAGTTGAAGCCACTGCAAAATGAATGAATTAATGTTTATAAAGTACAGACACTGTGCTCTGAGACTTAACAACACATAGAGGTGAGCTCACAAATAGCAGGAAGGCACGACTTCCAGCATGCCTTGCATGCATGTCCAGTGACCACCACTTTGCTTGGAAAATGCTCTCAGCCTTATCGAGGCAAGTTTACAATCGTACAGGTGTAATTACCATACACAGATATTAATACTTGTGCACGCACACATGCCTTGCAATTGCCATCCGCAATTCACACCTGACCACCATGGATCATTTCTCAAATAGTATCCAACACTTTTGTCGGGACTCAAGGCAACAATATAAAATAACACATTGTTTTTGTATTCATTCTCAAACACAGATTAAGGTAATCCGTGTATAAAAATGCTTCACTCAGTTCAAAAATCATCTTTAAGGGAACTACAATCACATTCAATAAATACAATTTTCAAAATGTAAGAACTCAATGCATATATTTTTTTTTATCGAATAATTTTTTGAAAAAAAGAAAGTTAAATATCGAGGGAGCTAGTTTTCTTTCCATTTGTGCACTGATTTTTGGGTAAGTGAAATTTTCCCCTGAAGCCTCTTTGGCTGAAGGCCAGTGTGGAGGTGCACGCCGGTAGAGACAGTTATCGACTTACGAACACCCGACTTTCATTAATCTGGACGTATGAACTGTTCGACTTACGAACGGGTCTCAGGGACTAATCATGTCCCAACGTCGAGGACCGCTTTTACTACGGAACTTTGGGGGAGAGGTTGGTGGATCACGCGGTTCTCAATGTGTGCAGAGACTTAGAATCCTGCTCGACTGAAACTTGAACAACAGCTGGCAGGACAGAAAAGTAGGCACGTGACCCACCTGTAGAGATCGTTGAGTGTTATCTCTTCCTTTGCACCAGTAATCGCTCTCTCTCTCTCTCTTTGTATGGGGGTTCTGGTTATTCTTACATTCACTCATTACAACTAAAAAGTGGGCCGAAAATACCGAAAGTGGACGCTTCTTAAATAGTATCGAACGATTTTTCCTCGATAAGTGACAAGTCATGTTTTGCGAGTTTGCAAATGTTGTCACTTGGTAACACAGCTAAGGCTGCTCAAATGTTGTCGTTATGGGTGGCAGCTGGTAAAGTAAATTGCAAATAAACAGGCACTGAAAATATTTTTCCTTAAAAAAATGTTTCCACAAATTCGTTACTAAAGTAAATCGTACTAATCTGTAACAATAATAGCAGTATATTTTAAGTCTTTTTTTAATGTTGCGGTAATCAGTTATAGATTACAACCATAAAATTATTACTCATTGGTTTTTTTGGTAAAGTCACGTATGTAGAAATACAATAAAATTATATTAAAACAAAAAACAATCACGACGTTTCGATCACAACGCAAGCGATCTTTATCAGGTGTCAAGAACAAATCATGGAGGTAAATACAACAAAAAGATGAGAGACGAGAATTCAACAAACCTGAAAAAACATTATGTGAAGCACATCCAGTCACACATACGTGACTTTACCGAAAAAAACAATGGGTAATTTTATGCAGTCACGAAAGCTTTAATACCTTATCATAAAATTATTCTCAAATTCTCAGTACCCACTGAACTTTTCAGGGAAATATTAAAATGACACTGCATATTGGTACACATGAGAATGTGATATTACAATGTAAAACAAGGTCTACATTACATTACCATTTGGTTGTGCAGAGCAGAACCTGTGGAGGTACAATGCAGTCAGAAGGAGTAGCTGTGCAGACATTGCATGATTCCAAAATCCAGGCATTTCTGCAATTAAAAAAACACAAAATTACAATTATGAGGGCGATAATACCTTCAGTCAAAAACAAATTGATGTTTCGCCTCCTCTGTATGGGAGGATTGCTCCTAAAGGTTTGGTCACGTTCTAAAGTGGCTTATCACTATTACGAGATGTGACTATACACCTTTCACATGGTAGCAATGCCAACCTAGATAATAAAAAAACGTATCTAGATTGAATTCTAATTTCTTCAGAACTGCTTTTTTGTTTACTGTTGTCCCTCTGATTAGCACGGTTGGCCACGTATTGTGCGAAAGAAGTTCAACATACAGACATGCCACGCAGCACTGTCTGGGTATATGCTTTCCCGCTCTTGCCAGGGCAGGGAGGAGAATGAGGCGGGAGGGATGCGAGGGAAGGATGGAGTCCACAAAAACTCATGGTTCATGAATCACAACGATGCGGACCTGGCGTCCTGGTGTATTATTCCTGAACCTGAATGGGGCTTTCAGAGCCCATTCCCGAGTAGTCGGCGAAGCAATGCAGAGTCTGATTTCTGCAAAAGTGATTTTGCTGAATTCAAGTAGAGGTGTAGAGCCCATTTTTTTGCCAGTGCAACAGGTGGCCCCATGTTCCGTAAACAAAAGCCAGGGTCACGGAGCGGGTGGGGGGAGTCGCGGCCAGGGGGCGAGTCGCGTCCGGGCCGGGCCAGCTGCTCATGTCGGCGCTCTCACCCCGTCGCCGCCGGACTGAGCCGACCAATCACGCTCTGTCCGTCTGGCACAGTCACGCACACGCGCGCGCGCCAATTTACGCGTGTGTGCGTGCCGGGCTGCTCCGTACTGCAGGGTGGCATGGAATTGTAGCGTTACGCCAAATACGACACGTTGCTACTGTGCTTTAAAAAAAAACACGACGGTAAAGATGATGATAAAGACGATGATGGTGGTGATGATAAATTATGCAACGTGAAGATGATGCCAATTATGACGATGGTCCTAATTCTATTTTCGAGCATGATATCAGCAGAATGTTCAGGAGCTTAATGCAGATGTTGAGGTCTACTTGCCATGACGAGAGGGCTTAAGGACAGAGAGTTCGTGTAGTTTATCTGTTCTTCCTCCGTTGAAGGAGCTCAGACCACAGTGGTTTACTGTAATGTCCACAGTTTGGGTTGCAGGGCTATAATCGCACAATTGTGGCTTGTCTTTAATACATCTCTTGGAGTCTCTGTGTGTTGTTTGGGTTTACCATACGGTCCATAATTGGGGTTGCATGACCTTAATTGCACTATTGTAGCTTGTCTTTAATTTTCCATTGATGAAGTTGTGCGCATCGGCCTGGTGATGTTCTGATGCGGTTGATGATTACACCACCGGTGGATTCGAGGAAGAGGAACGTCAGAGTTAGGAGGTGCGATGATGTATTCGAGTTCCCCAGTTAGGTGTTTATTCTGGACGCCCGCGTTGTTCCACTCTGTTCGCCAAAGTTATTCCGTGTCTGGATGAGGTTCTAAGATGGCAACAGTGTGACCCCAGAAGAGGGATCTGGACTTAATTCAGCGTTGAGGTACATTATTGAGGTCTTGGTTGATAGGTAGGTTGTCTTTGGAAAGCAAACTTGTAAACCCCCTTGCAGTGTCCACGTCTCTGTGGATATTTAGTGGCAGAATGTTCGCCAGAGCAGGGAGTCAGGAGATTGGTGTCAGTTTTAGTCTTCCTGTTATAATACCCATTGTGTCCTAATGAGGACAGCGATGACGATAAATGGTTATGCTGATGGTAAATCATCCCACAATGGCGGCATGAGTAGTGGTGCGAATATGCTTGGTGCATTTTATTTTTGTACAGAAACTTCTGAACCGGAATCGCAAATTGCAGGATGGGGCTGTGCGGAATGATGGCCCAAAACAAATAACTGAATCAGGCCCCAAATGTGGCTGCAGAACAATTGTGTCGACAGAGCTATGGAGGAAGGACGCACTCGGGCGGAGACGGTGAAGCGAACGATGGCAAGAACTTTCCGACGCCGCAGAATTGTTCAATATCAAGGAAACAGTGTAGATGAATATGCCTTGAATGGACATAAGTCACTGGGTTTTCTGAGCCGTGACATGCGAGCCGACTTTAATTTATACGGATGTGTTTACGAACACCATGCCGAGCGAGCAAACACATCACGGCTGGAGATTGGTCATGCCGTGACATAATGCAAATATTTATACATTCTTAACAAACCTGTACAGTAAAATGTTTTGTGTTCTGTCAATGCTGCTCACCCAAATTATGCAAATATATAGCTATTTATAATTCAATTCTAACATTTATATTTAATGTAAACCAAAATATTTGGAAACATTCCACGATCCAACTTCTGGAGAAAAAGACGAGGTCTTTTTTTTACCCAACACTGAACCCTCGCAGTAATCAACAGAGGAAGAGGAGCTCTTAAGGGTCAAGAAATATCAGAATATTTATTTATCACCGGAGGAATCCGATGAGCTGTAAAGCTCTTTTTTTGTTTGTTACAGATGACCAAAACATGATTCGGTGAGAGGCTGCGCTGGAAGAGGTGCACGAACACGCATAGCGAGTAAACTCAACAGATCCATCAGTAAAACACCGTGGACTCAACATGAAACGTATACGGTAGGCGACGTTTCGGGCAATGATCATTTTCCATACCAACGTAACTGAATAAAGAAGCAAGCGCCATTGGCTGACTGTGTGGGTGCTATGCAAGAGGGGCCGTTGCCTAACCGCGTGTTTTCCTTTTAGCGCCACAGTGCTCTTGGGAAACGCATTGAGCTTTTAGTTGTTATAAGTGCAATTTATGTTGCTGTTATATACTATGGGTATGTAGAGGGGGGTAATAAGAGGATTTAAAATTATTTTACATCTCCCTAAATATATAAAATAAAAAGTCGATCAATACCTTCCGGGACAAAACCATAACAGTAGCATGTGTTTTAATGAGACACAACCTGATCATGTTTCACCTCGTATGACTGTAGAACATGTGTGGCCCGTGAAACAAGTTCATGAATCTGTAAAACAAACATTAAAATGCACTGGGTTCACACGTGGTCATGGCAGTGGACGTTGTGCTTGCACCTAACCAGTGGTTTATTCTAGATTTAAAGCTTTCGTGACTCCAAGAATCCATACTCTTTGGTTCTATTCGGTAAAGTCACGTAGGCAAAAAAATAAAACAACAAAAATCACGACGTTTCGGCCACAACACAAGCGGCCTTCATCAGGTGAAGGGATCAGACTGTCTCGAGGACAGCGCTGGAGTGAAACACAGCCACGCTCAGACCGCCATAGGGCTCATTGCATTTCGGACCAACACCACCTGACCAGTGAATTAAAACATGTACACCTGGCCCTCAAAAGGAATGTATACTCTGACCGTACCATCCGCCAAGCTGTTTCTCCCTCCATACAGAAACAACCACTTGATACTCCGGTCAAAACCATCACACTACCATATATAGCAGGCTTTACCAAAAAGATTTCCAAAATTCCAAACAAACACAAGATCCAGGTCCGGTTCAATACAGTACACAAAATTCGTGATCCCATCCGTGAAGGATGTCATTCCTGACTTACAGTACCCCGGGGTTTAAACATTGAGTTGTACCTGCGGTGATTGCTATATCGGGGAGACAAAGCGACATGTCTCTGACCGAATTCGCGAGCACAAATCAGATTTGAAACACGGCAGAACGAATTCTTCTGCCGTAGCTGATCACTGTTACAACGCTGTGGGTGATCACGATATAATTTTCTCCGATACCAAGGTTCTTTGCAAACCCACGGGTTTTTATAAGAGATTTGTTCACGAGGCAATTCAGATCTACAAACACAGACACAATTTCAACCGAGAACATGGTTTCAAATTAAGCAACCATTGGAAAGACATTAAACTAATTTTCAATGGTACAGTATATTTTTCAAGTAGTGGTACCCCAAACTTTCGCAGCTCTTAAAAATTCCATTTTTACACCATCAATAGGTAAACTCCCCCTCCCCCGCTCGCCAACCGGCATGTTCACTCGCATGTACACCACCTCTACACCGTTCATCATGCTAAGTCGGCCAATCAAATGCTAATTTTTATGCGAATTCCTTTGTCAAGGCACCTTAATTACTCTCACACAGCTTAAAGGTCGCGGTCTGAGCGTGGCTGTGTTTCACTCCAGCGCTGTCCTCGAGACAGTCTGATCCCTTCACCTGATGAAGGCCGCTTGTGTTGTGGCCGAAACGTCGTGATTTTTGTTGTTTTATTTTTTACCTACGTGACTTTACCGAATAGAACCAAAGAGTAGAGTGGTTTATTATTGCACTGGTTACATGAAGCAGTCCCCCTCCTCTACCTCCTTCCATTGATCTCTTAGCTCCTCACCAATTCTCCATCGCCCATTCTCTTCCTCTTTCTTACCCTTACCCATCCACTCCTTCCCGTCCCTCCCCTAGTCCTTTCGTGGTCCCTAACTACACCTCTATCACTGTCAATTACTCTTCAATCCTTGTAGCACGCCCCTGTCAACTACATTATTCCATTCTGTCATCGTTTTGTAAGCACTGTCATGGAGGGTCTTGAGTAAAAGCGCTCTGTAAATATAAATTAGATTAGGAAAGCCTCACTGAGTCTCAAAATCTTTTTAGGAGGGTCCTGCCAAGTTTTGACAGTCGGAGGCGTTGTTGCTGCTGTGTGTCATCCAAACTGAGTATTTTTTAGGATATATTTGAGCATTGGGATGTTTGGTCAATACCAGTTACATTGTAATGGCGCATTGGGATCTACGGATGGAATGTGCCACACAAAATGTTAATTATTATTGGGTTTTCTTAGCTATGGGAGGAAACTGGGGAACCTAGAGGAAGCCTGTGCCGAACAGGGGTAGAAAAATACCAACTCCAGACAGAAACTATAAACTACGTTTTTTATTTTACCGGATAAGGCTCACTGAGCTATATAGCTCTTTTTCAGAAGCGACCTGGCCACAAACGATAGCTCAACGATGTAGCTTATCATGTGTAAATTCCTAGCAGCCAAATACTCTAAACGCATGTTGATTGTAAATGTGGAGGGAAAAACCGGAGGATCCGGGGAAAATCCACGCAACCACAGGGAGAGAGACACGCAAGCTCCAAATAGAAAAGCATCAGGGTTGGGATCACACCCACGATTTCCTGTATACCAAGCGAGGTAGTAAACATCTCGCCACCTCGGCACCCCAAGGCACCTGAGTTGGGAATCGAAAGGCACCTAAGTTGGGAAGCGAACCATGGCACTGATTGGTATGATGCACGAATGTTTCCACTGCGCCACCCTGAATAACATGAAAACCACAGCCTTAAGGTGTATTATGCAATGCACATCTCTTCGTGCCTCAATAGACTCCGCAAACTGAATATCTTCACGCTGCAATTTTGGTCTGAAATGAAAGCTATGCCCTTTTTCTAGGAATGGAAAAAATTGGGATTTGCTTTTCAAAGTATTTTTCTTGTTAATTTTTGAGCGGTGTGATCATGTCCAAGGGTAAAAAAAAAACTAAATAGTCCTATGCCCTGTTATGTGCAAGGCAACCATTGATGGACATTTGGATCTCATGTGAGCTCATTGTTATTCATGTTGCCATTTCCACCGTCGTGCATATAACAATTAGAAGTCACATGTTAGGTTTCATTGGCATTGCCCAAGATTCAGAAATCCAACATATGTTAAACATTTCGAGTAATGTCCTGCGTTGGCATGTGACTGCGCAATATTGGTTTTGTGCTTGTCCATCACTAAAACACAATCTCTTCAACTTGTGAACATGGAACTCTACATTCACACATAATGTGCAAACATACAACCCGGGGTACAGACGCACGAGTACCCACATACAGCATTATAGAGAGGGGCGCACATGCGTTGCGAGCTCCAGCGTTCTATTAATCTGTACAAATATTTACAATCGTGAATTTGGGCTGACTAGCGAACCGGCTTTTGTGTCACACATTAAAGACTCAACACTCAGGAGATTCATGGCAAATGGCTGTAATATATTCCCTATACTCGCATTCAAAAAAACACGAAACGTTCAGCGTTTTAAAAGTCACAACTGTAGATCTGGAAACGCATCATTATAAAGATAGACAACAACTTTCTCTTACCTCGTGCGAGTTGAAATCGTGCACACCTCGGCCACTTGTAAACATCAATCTGTTCGGGGTGGACCCAGGCCCTAACGAGAATTCCGCGTTATCAATAATGCCCACTGCTGAGACACGTGGCTCCTCAGGATTCGCACGAACGCCTGAGGCTCAGAGACTGAGATGTAAATCCCCCCAAAAAATCGGCTAGGTATTTTTTTAGCAGGGCAAGGCGAATGGCACAGCCCCTCGTCGGCATGAGGAGCGTTTCTCCAACGCCTCTCTTTCCACTCCCCCCACCCATTCTCGTTCTGTTTCCATACCGGAATCTACACATGTGTAGTGGCATTCCTGGGTGATGCCACTGCTCCCCGGTTGTAGTGCCAGGCCTAGGAGAACAGTGGGTGGAAGAGTGCCCAGATCGAGATGGGCCGTGGCACTTATATTGAACCCAGGGGGCCTCGTGACCGGAGGTATGGACCCCAGGACCCCCAAAACGGGGCTGGGGGGATGACGTGTCCACAACCCAGGTCCTTCTCGAAGGTTCGAGAATGAGAGCGTGGCTAGGGGCAGAGAGAGACGGGACTGACTAAATAAGCCGGACCCCTGAACGGGACCGGCTGCTGTTGTGTACTTGAAGACTCGAAGCCGTCACCTGAAGACCTGGAGCCGGGGCCGGACCCGAGAACCTTGGCTGGGTCGAGTCCGAGTAGCCCCGTGGTTAGAACCCGAGGACCTTGGCTGGGTCGGGTCAGAGATAGCCTCCCTAGGTCCCGCTAGCCGGAGGACCCTTATCTGAGATATTCTCCCAATGTGTAGGGCATGCTAGCCCAGAGGACGTACCTCCCTAGTGTATTGGGTGGAAGGGGCGTTACCCCTTCGTGTTAAGGTTACCTTCCGGCAGAACGAATTCTACGGCCGTGGCTGATCATTGTTTCAATACAGCGGGTTCTCATGGCATTGTTTTCTCCGATACCAAAGTACTATGCAAAGCTCCCGGTTATTACCAAAGATTTGTTCATGAAGCCATCCAGATATACAAACATAGACACAACTTCAACCGAGAAAATGGTTTTAAATTGAGCAACCATTGGAAAGATGTCATCAACCAAGTCAAACTTTAGCTGCCTTATAATTGTACAGCCATTTCCATCTCTCAGTGGGTTGTACTCGCTTTCGAGCAGTGCACCACCGCCCCTGAACCCCCTGCAGCATAACAAAAGGCGGCTTAACTTAGCCCTCCCCTCCCCACCCACGTCCCTTCCTGGCTCCTTCCCTCCCCCTTAACCTGTATATAATCTCGGGTGTCTCAGAGCTCTTTACATGATACAGCTATTTTGCTGTGACTGTTCCACCTGAAGACGGAAGCTTGTGTTGCCTCCGAAACGTCGTGATTTAATTTAGTTGTTTTCATTTATTTTATTTTACCTACGTGACTTTACCGAAAAAACCAAAGAGTATGAATTCTTGCAGTCACGAAAGCTTCAAATCTAGAATGAAGGTTACCTTTGTTATAATAAACGTGTTGCCTCTACTGAAGTCCCACTCTCCATTATACCCAGTACACATGGTGAGAGGGCCAGTGCTGGATAAATAGGAAAATCAATGAATGTTTTAAATTATGTTTATTAACATTGGTTTGCTAAATGTGTCAAATAACATGTTTTTTTAATAAATGGTGTTTTGTTTAACAACAAAGTGTAGTTATCAAGAACTGTGGTATCGTCGTGGTTCCCTGCTTTGACCTCTGTGGCCATGACAACCATTTTCACCTCTGTTGTTGAAGAAGCCGTGAGGTCCAGGGCAGCGCCACTTACAGAGCTGAGAGACGCCAAAGTATTAAAGGATCAAGTGGGATTCTTCAATGCATGTTTAAACGATTTAAAAAAAAAAATTTCACCAGGTAAGGCCCACTGAGCTATATAGCTTTTATTCAGAAGCGACCGGGCCACAAATAATAGCTCAACGAAGTGGCTTTCGTGGACATTTATAGCTGTCAAATGCTTTAAACACATGTTTCTAAATATGGAGGGCAAAACCGGAGGACCTGGAGAAAAATCTACGCGACCACGGGAAGAACATTCAAACTGGAAATATATAGGCGTGAGGGTCGGATCGAACCCACGACCTCCTGTATACCAGGAGGGGTAGTTAACATCTCGCCACGGTGGTTAACGATCAAAGCCAAATTAAGCTATGCAAATGTATCTGTAAAATGACACAAACATGTATTATCAATGCACATTGATTCCCAGAGCGTAGAGATCCTCAATACGACGAGGTTTATATTGTATGATGGCAGCAGCAGACGCAAACAATCCCATCACCACCACCATCGTCATTGAGGTGGCTTTGAACTCCATGGGCAAATGTGAGTGCTCAATTTAATAAATCCAACTCTGCTGAGATCCTACATTCAAATATGTGGCTAAAGCGTGTCCTCACATTGTGAATACTCACTCTCAATGATATTTCACTACTCTAAGCCGATACGTAATACACAACGATTGGAATTCACAATGCACTTGCCGTTGGCTCAAGGCGACAATTACATTCTCAGCTTACACTTTACCACCGTGCAATGTGTAAGTTAACGTTCATGACACCCCATCACTTGCTTCCCATTATAATTCACGTACATATCCTTTTCATGCTTGTGTCCGGATATTCTCATCTCAACATGGGTTGCGAATTGCTGTAGTTGAACCATTTGAAATGTGATATCAGAAGCAAATGACGGAACGCTTTACTCTGTAATAATCCATTTTTCAAACAACACCTCAACTGCACTCATTATTTACGATCTTATTAATCTCAACCATCATCTATTCACTCCTGCATGAAGACCTCCCCAAACTATTGCCATATGTATGTATAACTTCTTTCGCACCATATATAACCAACCGTGCAGAGGTGCAGGGAAGGACAACAAACTTAAGATAAAAAGCAGTTCTAAAGAAATGAGCTTTCAATTTAGATTTAAAAGTGCATAGCTCCAGTGGCGTCCTAATATCGAATGGAAGAGTATCCCAGATGGCCGCGGAAACACATTTGAAAACGCGCGATGCAGTGACCATCTTTGTACCATGGCCAGCCAAAAGCCGTTCACAGTCTTGCGAGGTAACAATCCATCCAGCAGCTGTGCGCAAGCTGATTTAATTGTTCCATTGCCTCAGGGGGATGCCTTCTCGTGTGTGTTCTGTCCTTCAGCTGCCATTCCTTTCTTAGTCTCGATCATCGGCCAACGTCACTTCCAGTGACGTTTCCTGCCAGAGGCCACGTGTGTTTTATTGCCAGTCAATTATTTCTCTAACTTGCGCATGTTATCGAATCACGTGATCCTGTCAGTGTCAGGGGCGGTCCATAAATGACGTCACACACCGGGGGGGGGGTCAGAAATTTGTGACGATGCGTGACGAGGGGGGGGGGGGGGTTGAGAAATGTGACGTCACATCAAAATGCGTAACTTTAAATAAATATAGACAACAGGTTCTACTTAATTAAATAGACTTTTTAATAATGTTTTACATCAGAGTGCAGCGCCACATTAAATACGCACTACAATGACAATAGTTTAAAGCTATTTGAAGCAATTTTTTTTTGGGGGGGAGGGGGGGCAGAGCTTTGTGACGTCATATTTGACGGGGGGTCTGACTTTTTGTGACGCCGTGTGACGATGGGGAGGGGGTTCAAAAAACGTCCAAAATCGCGTGATGTCATTTATGGACGGCCCCTAATTCCATCTCTGTGTCCCTTTCAGCTTTTGTTCAATTCTCTTTCTCCAATGTCCTTCCCCCACATCTCCGATTAGCGCGGGTGGCTACTACGTTCAACATACATATAATGTTCATATGTATGAACATTTTGTCATATCAGGCACGGTAATATACACTGGTTAAACAGTTCCCTCTGAAGGCAGATTGGTCAGGATGTTGTCTTTCACCATTAAGTTCAGTTTTCCAAAATAACTCCACCCAGCTTTCATGGACCTCTATATTAAATCGTTTTCATCCTGGTTCAGTTGCGGTACCTTTCTTGTTCTGCTGAGTATTCCACGTGTGTCCCCTCGAACGTACATCTTCAATTGTTTAGTGACTTTATTGACTCAATAAAAATCTGCCTTGGTGAAAATGAATAGTCATCCAAGTCGTGCATTTAAATATATTTAACAACAATAATAATGAAACATGGTTTAACAAAATTATACGGCGACAGCAAAGATCTGAGTAAAATAAAGAGACGCTTTCGTCAGAGTAATTCACAGCGAAAGAAGGTATTTTCCAAAAATGGGAGAGACAATGACGTAAATGAGTCCGCAGGGTTGCTGGGGCTCACGCTCCGTGATCGGGTGAAGGAGCCCGGTAATCCGGAAGAGCCTCAGAGTCGGGCCCCTGCTCCTCCAGATCGAGAGGAGCCAGTTGAGGTGGTTCGGGCACCCGGTAAGGATGCCCCCCGGTGGACTCCCCCTGGAACTCTATCGGGCAGCAGCACGTCCCGCTGGGCGAAGACCCCGGGGCCGGCTCAGTATACGGACAATGTCGCTCGGCTGGCCTGGGAACGCCTGGGAATTCCCGGGAATTCTCCAGGAAGAGCTAGAGTTTGTCGCCAGGGGAAGGGAGGTCTTGACCGCCCTACTCATCATGCTGCCGCCGCGACTCTCACCAGGACAAGCGTATTGAGAAACGAACAATTATGTAATATTTCAATGTGGGAACTATTAACAATCCAAGATTATTGTGCGGACGACAGAGCCACGAAAGCAGCCAAGGAGAAGGAACCACGGGGGAATGATCGACGAAGCTAATAAAGGTTGCAAAAGCCAGACTCAAACGTAAAAAAGCGAGCCAAATAACAAGAAAAAACACGCGAGTTTACTAAGGTGGAACATTTTCAGTCGAGTGATGTCGGGAGCTTGCTGAGCCCACGTGCAGCATTGGCAGCGGGGCGATTCCAGTGCCACAGCTGTGGACTCGCTCCCCGCAAACGCTGCCGGGGGCCTCTCCGCCAAGAGTCGTACCCTGTGTGTGAGAGGGCCCACTGCCCCTCTCACTCCATCTCCCTCGTGGTCCACCATCGTTTTAGGGGCATCGGGTCACGCGACAGCGCCTTCTTATTTCGATGTAATTTAGAACGCGATTGAAATAGCGCAAACAATATACTGAACGCTTTTTTTTCTCTCTCTAAAATCTGTTGTGTGTGTGCGTTTGTTGAACTTACGTTGCACCGCACGTGCCCAACTTAATTCCCTAACCATCAAAGTTTGCCAACCAAATAGATCTTCATTTGCAATGCCTTTTTGTTTGTCCTTGTTTCACTCCTTAAGTCACACGAAGTCGGACAAATCGCTCGTACCGATTGCAGTGTCACGTCTGTGAATGGCGTTGATCAACGCCGCTGCATTTCCCACAACCTTCGGCACCGTGAGAGTGTCCATCAATGGCTCGTCCCGAGCATCTCACACAGCTGTTAAAACTGCATCGAATCTTTCTTGTTTAGACTGCAGGAGGAATCCGATGAGCTAAGAAACATTTTTTTCACAGATGTATGGGCGGGTCAGCAGGTTACAATAGCAAACAGTACAAACATAAACCGATAGGAGTGCAAAATAGAGGTTCAGAAAGTCACGAAATATAAGTAAATAATACATTCTATAAGTCCGCTTGGGCAAGGCAGCAAAAAGAGGTGATAGCGTTGCTCTGCTCTGTTGTAAAATACTGTAGTGTAACAATCACACATTTTGCTGGTTAAAATGACACCGTTCGTTACTTGCAATGTATAAATAAATAAAGTTATAAAGTTGTACACATTCATAACACTTTAGTTTCCTTGGTAAGAAAAAAAACCCATCAGAATATCAAGTACATACTTTGTACATACTTACTTCGTACATACTTAGTACACGAAGATATTATAGACAAGAACCCCCCCCCCCAGCATTATAAACACGTCATCATGAGCAATACCAGTGGAGTACAGCAAACTAAAAAAAGACATTTGTACAGATACACAATGATGTGCGGAGCCGTCAAGCCACTGTGCAGTGTTTCAAAAACCCGCACGGACCGATTAACTGCAGCAATGCACAGCACTGACACGGCACGAGAGCCCCCAGCCTACCTCAACGCAGCAGCAGAGGCGATGGCTGTGTGCGAGACTCTGCGGCAGCGGCAACGGCAGCAGCAGCAGCAATCGTTCACGCCGACGGCCCGTCAACAACAAGCAGCGCTACCACGCCGTGACTCGTCCAGTTGTGAGGACCGCGGTCAAATGCGGCAGCGTCCAAAAGAGGAAGTTCCTCGGAATGCGGAGGGGGCGCCTAAACGTTTGCCTACATTCGGAGGAAATTACAGAGAGGCGCTGTTTACATGTTCTGGCAATTAATAGCCGAGCGGTGACCTGGCCATACCGAACGCATCACTCTTCTCGTTCATTTTACGAAACTGGGATGTAAACGAATGTCATTTGGTCGAGGTGCTATTTAAACACACACAGCAGCATATGTAAGAAGAAATCCACCGCTCGTTTAATAGTGAAATGTGTATCTCTTTAAGTGCAGTGCTGTACTGTGTTGTTTCTGTGTCACATCCGCTTGTGAGAGCCCTTAGGGCACGATGCTGTCCTATATTTAGACAGCTGCACTGTGACTGGAGCCCAGCGGTAGCCGCTTTTTGTAGAAGTTTCTCAGTTCGAGTCCGGCAGGCTGCCCTGGTTATCACTGCGGTGGTACGAACCATATACATACGCGCTGTTTGCTTCCCAATTTAAAAAAAATTACTACAAATCACTCAAATGGGATTACCCATAGCAGCAGTCATCGCCGCATGTTGCAAGACTAATGCCCGGTGCCGAATCATCGTTTGCTGCGCAGGGACAACTGCAACTGAGGTGCCCTTTCCAATGTGTTGAGATGTGAAAGGAGCGCATCTTTATCAAGATCAACCAATGAACACATCGTCATCGATATGATTGCCATATCTGCGCTAGTTTTTTGGAGGAGCCCACTATTAAAATGTGTCAAGACACTACAAATAGGGAATACATTTGCATCTAGGGGCCGAGCAAGCATGAGGTTTTAAACAAATCTCCCTAATGTAGTAGGAGGCTCCGGGGCACCCAATGCGTTTACAATCATAAGATGTCGGCAGATTAACTCAGATTAATAACAATGCATTATGTACAGCCCTTTATCAATCCACTCCTGGATGAAGATCTTTCTTACACAGTGTTGATCATGAGGTTGTTTGACCATACCTCACCACGCTTGTCCGTGCAGGTTGGGCGAAGGGGTGGCGGGCAGTTCAGGTAGCGCTCGCCACTGTAAGCTCGGCTTAATTCAATTCAAGAAAATGCACATGAAGCGTGACAGGAGGTGGTGTAGCTTTTAGTGATCTCATCGGGAATGTTTTCTCTTTAGTGGCCACCACGTGTTATTGATTTACGTGATGCTTTACAGTTTGCTGCTGATTATGAATGCACAGCAAGCATCTCCCTCTCGCGGGGGTTTAGCTTTCGCGTTTTTTTGACAAATTTATTGAGGTAGAGTTCGCCGATCGCGCCCCTGTGGCTCGACCATTCGCGCTTGATTCCTGTACGCATCGTGACTGCACTGCTCACGATGATGTTGCCGCGGAAGAAAACACGGGTGCCGTCTTGTCTCCATCTTACGTCCCAAGTGGCCCATCTTGGGTCCCAGGTGACGCGGTGATCCCAGACTCCAGTGAACGAGGCAGTGATGTTCAGCCACATGGTATTTCTTGCTGTACGGGGCAGTTCCCGACCTACGAACGGGTTCCATTCATGAGACCAATTCGCAAGTCGATCTGTTCGGACCTCAGAACTCAATACAGTATTCGTGCGCGGTTTATCCGATTTGCGGATTAACCGTGCACCTGAGATTTTGACATAAATGAATAATGGGTTTTCCTTTAAAACCCAAATTAATCATCTAAAAACAGTTTTACATTGTTATTCTTGGGAATGTTTATTACAAGTCATGTGCTTAAACCGAATAAATATATGCTCCACTTATTCTGAAGTCCACGTGATCGACTCTACAGTACAGTAGTTGCATATCTTTACAAGTGGGTGGAATCTGATTGATTTTGATTGACGTGGCTCGGCTATCATCCACTTATTGGGTGGAATCTTCTGCGTGGGAGCAGGAAAGTGTTCGTAGCGCAGCGTGCTAACCGCTACACTACCACTCCCCATACAAAGACACTCTCATACATGTGTGAGCGCGTAAAGACACATACATACATACGGTACATACTCACTCCCAGCGGGGTGCAAGACTCATTACATCTCACGGAGGATCACTCCGCCAAACAAAATAGTTTGGTTCGCAAGTACGAGCGAACGTTCGCAAGTGGGATGATTAAAAAATAACATCATAAGTTGTGGATAGCTTGTAGTGTAAAATACTGTACATGGATATTGTGCACCTGGGAACTCAGGCAAACTGGCGCTCACACAACCAGTGTGTTTTCTGGCATATTAAACATTTGCTAAACAATTGTAAAGGCGTACCAGCCCCCAAGTAAGTATTGGACTTGATTCCGTCTTCAGCAGAGTGCGTAACACTTCAGAGTTACTCCGTTCAGGCGCTGCCTTGAACTGTCCTCCCGCTCCTTGTATCCTCTTCCCCGTCCTTTCTGGAACTTTCTCCGACTTCACCGATCCCCATCACCTCTCCCAATGGTCTCCCAACCGACCCCTCATTTGCATGTGGTCCTCCCCCCCTTGCTCATTCAAATTTACCCCGACAACCAATTAGACTTGAGTGGTTCTCCACTTTCCAATCAAATCGTGTACCTTACGTTTGGCTCCTCCCCCCTGAGAGCTTCTCGCCAATGAGAGTCGGGCGCGCTACTTTGAATGTACTAGCATTTAGTTAAGAGTACAGGGTATGTTTGTGCATTACTTAATAAGGTTCGCCTCTCGGCCGTCCCTTATGCAACGGTACAATAATGTTCTTGGCGCTTTGTCAGTCCACCTCTGGATGAAGGCCTCTAACCGTGCCGTGTCAATTATGGGGGTTGTGTGACCATGCTTCATGCTAATGTTACGTGCAAGTTGGATGTAGAATACAGAATGTATGTTGAACTTCTTTCAAACTGTACGTAGCGAACCATGCTAATTGTGCGTAAATATCTCGGTTGACGAATCCTCCGGGGACAAAGCTCCTTTATAGTCGGCCGTGGAGGGTCCGTTGCCTCCCCCCCCCGCCCCATATTTTTGCTTGAACTCTTCGCATTGCTGGAATGTCATCATGTTTTTTGCAGTGATTAAAGTGATTTAGCTTCCCCCATTATGTCATCCAACCAACCATCTCATGCTAGTTGCCTCATTGGGCAAAGAATGCAGCATAAATCCATCTCTGGAAACCAAAATGCAGATCGTAAGGAGGATGGGTAGAGGCGAGGGAGATGAAACCTGAAGTGGCGCGTTATGGTTGGCGCAGTCCACCTTAGAGACAACTTTAAAACAAGCAGACAACGTGAAAGCCACTGTGCAGCAATTTTTTACTATTCTACCCCCCCCCCCTTCCCTGAAGTCCTGGAACGCATCCCTATGCCTCCCATATCTACCTCTGGTATTGACCTTTCTGATAAGGAAGTGACATGATCGAAAGCATCTACTTTGTTAACCGAGGTATACCTCTACATATATCGACTTGCCACTGATCTTAGCCATGGCTGGGTATTGAACTTGGGTTGCATGTGTCATAGTGCAGTGCCTTAATCACTGTGCCACTACTCCACCTCAATATATGCCGAAATAATGTGAGAAAATATAGTGAGAAAATTATAAAGTATAGTGACACATTAGAGTGATGAATCAGATTTTACATTGAATACAATTATGTGAAATATTCATCAAGCTTTCCAACAGTTTACATTACATGACAATATAGCATTCACGACAGATCCTTATATTGTATCTGACTGATGTTAAATTTACCAGGTATACAATGCAGAACTGCAGTAATAAATGCCAAATTACCAGTGCTGTTATATAATTTGAATATTAACAGACTTCACAGTGACATTTAATATCGTGTGTGATCAAATATCACTCGACTAGTTGTATTTCGGCCATGTGCTTAGTTTGCTAATGCGATGGTTGCATCACCGACACCATGAATCGGTCGCATTGTGACATGCCTCTAGCTTTGTTATGAATACTTGTGCAGGTGTCACAACCATACACTGAGCAGTCTTACCTCTCCTCGCTCCTCCATTCCTTCCCGGCCCTCCCCAACAGCCCTTTCGTGATCCCTAAGTACACCTCTATCGCTGCCACTCATTCCTCCATCCTCGTACGCCCCAATCAACTACATCATTCCATTGTCATCGTTTTGTAAACTACGTCAAGCGCATTGAGTGAATGCACACTATAAATCTAAATTCGATAAGTCACCAAGTCTTCCTACAGACTGCAAAAAGATGGTTTCAGAATCTTGAGATACATTTGTTTTTACCACGACACAAAAAAAACAGTAAACAAACAGCACGAGGGTTTGTGTGACAATGTCACACAACAAAACATTGTACGGCTCCGGCATCATGCATGGAGGAATTCTGGGGTGTAGCCAAAATAAAACTGGGGATGAGGGACTTACCATCGTTATCTACACTGAAGAGCCCCCTTAATCAAACTGTACTCAGACCCTGTACCTACCTAACCACACGCTGTAGATGGAGAAGCATTCGTGGTAATCTACACGTGTTGTTGGTAGTCAAACTCTGAGGCATGCAGACATGAATGCAACACCTCCACACGGGCATTTCATCAGCAGCTGCCTTTATGACACGCTGTCCTTATTTTCCATACATTCAATGTCAATGATAATTTGAGTCTTTATTTGTGATTTGGGTGAAGTTGTGTAACGATCAGGCAAATCTTTTTACAGTTTTTAGCTCTCCACCACGCGACACGGCAACATAAATTGTCACGTGTGCAATGAAGGCGTCCAATGACGCGCCAATTATTGTTGCGAGAGGACGACGCATGTAATGCGATGCCACAGATTGACGTTCCGTGGTCGTTGCCCCTTGCCGAAAGAGAGGCTCTCCCAATCATCACCGGCCTTCGAAGCCGAGCTTCAATCAACGCTGTTGACGCAGTGGCCAACCGCCCCACCGGTTGTCTGAAGGGTTAGTTCACAATAGCAACAAAAAAAACTATGGTTACGTTTCCTTCACACTGGATTCTTTTTACGAGAGTTACTGTTACTGTACTGTGACTTCATGAGCGTTATTGAGAGGCGGACACAGGCGGACGGAGTTAATGCATTATTAACGCACTCGCAATCAAAGTTGGACAGCATTAAAAGGTGACACGCGGAAGAAAAAAAATCTATAAATTATAGGATCACTCCCCTGCCCACTGCCACATGAATTAATAAAAAAAAAATACATTCAGCTGCTAAAGAACTCAATCTACGATCCAACTCAGTTCCTAAATGCTGTCATCAAAGTTAAAGTGCTACGGTCAACCTTGTTTTGTTTGTATTTTGGCTTTCATAACAGTAAAAAGGCGTTTTTGTGCAGTGTACACCATGGCACACATTTTTTGAAATATCTACATAACTTGTCTCACTCCTGCGAAGGTCTCCCTGCGGCATCGACGCGTAGGCTGCTCTGCTGGTGCAGGTGCGTGCACGTGAACCGATGGCTTGGCTTGGGCGAGATGGCCGTGTGTCCTTGTCTGCATTTAATAGCAGTGGCTTCTCTTCACTTCTTTTGGCCCTTCACTGTCGGGGCTGATGAAAGAAAATGCGCTGTTAATTTCGTGCAAGGTTACGAGCACACGCACACTTAAGACAAGATATTAACCCACGAGATTCAATCAACTCTGGGGCATGCAGACAATCGGTCAGAACCCTTGACTCTCAAAAGGAAGGCCTATACACGTTAAAATACTTGCTGGGAGTCAACTAAGCGTCTTGTCCTCCTGGAAATTATTTAAATGAGCACCAATCTATGGAAAGCCAGTTACAAAGACATGCCTCTGTCACGGTAATGTGGAATTCCCACCACTGGCTCAGGGCCACCAATTGAGATGGGAGCGACCTCATTGTTTTATAAGAGAAGCGCTTTGGCTTGCGACTTCTGGGGCCGGCATTGGTGCACGGTAGGGCGGGGCTTTCAGCACCATTCGCCAGCTATGGGGTCTCTTAATTGCTGTTCTTAGCACACAAAACCGTTTGCCTATTTAGCGCTATCAGTTATGTAACTGTTGTATGCACATATTGTATTTCTCCTTTGATAGAATTTGTACGTTTTAGTGCAAAAAGTTTTTACAGCTGACATAACGGTGCTTGCATCAATTCTTCATCAACACTACTAGAAAAATAGACGCCAAATCTACAGGAATCTCTGTGATTGTTCGTGTCCACGCACTGCTCTGCTAATACAACTCCATACTGTGTTTACAAATGGCTTCTCAAATTAATGACACCCGGGTAGAATCGAGTATAATCAGTTTGCAAAGTTTGTGAATGAATACCATATGCCAAATGTGAACTGTTTGCGTTATATAGGTAGTTTATCAAAGCAGAATCACCAATAGTAACACATATCGACTGTCCATGGCATTGCAATGGAACTCATAAGATGCGGTACTTTTCCATGGCTCATAAAATGGTTTCATGTTATATGCAAAACGAGTGCATGTTTATATATTGTTATTAATGTACATGATAACAAAAACATTGGAATTTATTTTAAGTTGAAAGCATTCTAATTTCATTAAGCCATAACATAAGTAAATGTATTAAGTTAGGCACCATATGGTAAAACATTTTTTTATAGGATATGCATTTTTACATTTTAAAGTGGAGCAATACAGGTGTATTATCTCTGACAGGCTGAGATCGGATAGCACTGACAGAAGTCGCTGGGGTGTGAAGGAGTAAAATCCGTAGTTATATCATTAATACAGGTGTATTATCTCTGACAGGCTGAGATCGGATAGCACTGACAGAAGTCGCTGGGGTGTGAAGGAGTAAAATCCGTAGTTATATCATTAATACAGGTGTATTATCTCTGACAGGCTGGGGTGTGAAGGAGTAAAATCCGTAGTTATATCATTAATACAGGTGTATTATCTCTGACAGGCTGGGGTGTGAAGGAGTAAAATCCGTAGTTATATCATTAATACAGGTGTATTATCCCTGACAGGCTGGGGTGTGAAGGAGTAAAATCCGTAGTTATATCATTAATACAGGTGTATTATCTCTGACAGGCTGGGGTGTGAAGAATCCGTAGTTATATCATTAATACAGGTGTATTATCTCTGACAGACTGGGGTGTGAAGGAGTAAAATCCGTAGTTATATCATTAATACAGGTGTATTATCTCTGACAGGCTGGGGTGTGAAGGAGTAAAATCCGTAGTTATATCATTAATACAGGTGTATTATCTCTGACAGACTGGGGTGTGAAGGAGTAAAATCTGTAGTTATATCATTAATACAGGTGTATTATCTCTGACAGGCTGGGGTGTGAAGGAGTAAAATCCGTAGTTATATCATTAATACAGGTGTATTATCTCTGACAGGCTGGGGTGTGAAGGAGTAAAATCCTTAGTTATATCATTAATACAGGTGTATTATCTCTGACAGGCTGGGGTGTGAAGGAGTAAAATCCGTAGTTATATCATTAATACAGGTGTATTATCTCTGACAGGCTGGGGTGTGAAGGAGTAAAATCCTTAGTTATATCATTAATACAGGTGTATTATCTCTGACAGGCTGGGGTGTGAAGGAGTAAAATCCGAAGGTATATCATTAATACAGGTGTATTATCTCTGACAGGCTGGGGTGTGAAGGAGTAAAATCCGTAGTTATATCATTAATACAGGTGTATTATCTCTGACAGGCTGGGGTGTGAAGGAGTAAAATCCGTAGTTATATCATTAATACAGGTGTATTATCCCTGACAGGCTGGGGTGTGAAGGAGTAAAATCCGTAGTTATATCATTAATACAGGTGTATTATCTCTGACAGGCTGGGGTGTGAAGGAGTAAAATCCGTAGTTATATCATTAATACAGGTGTATTATCTCTGACAGACTGGGGTGTGAAGGAGTAAAATCCGTAGTTATATCATTAATACAGGTGTATTATCTCTGACAGGCTGGGGTGTGAAGGAGTAAAATCCGTAGTTATATCATTAATACAGGTGTATTATCTCTGACAGGCTGGGGTGTGAAGGAGTAAAATCTGTAGTTATATCATTAATACAGGTGTATTATCTCTGACAGGCTGGGGTGTGAAGGAGTAAAATCCGTAGTTATATCATTAATACAGGTGTATTATCTCTGACAGGCTGGGGTGTGAAGGAGTAAAATCCTTAGTTATATCATTAATACAGGTGTATTATCTCTGACAGGCTGGGGTGTGAAGGAGTAAAATCCGAAGGTATATCATTAATACAGGTGTATTATCTCTGACAGGCTGGGGTGTGAAGGAGTAAAATCCGTAGTTATATCATTAATACAGGTGTATTATCTCTGACAGGCTGGGGTGTGAAGGCGTAAAATTCGTAGTTATATCATTAATACAGGTGTAGTATCTCTGACAGGCTGGGGTGTGAAGGAGTAAAATCCTTAGTTATATCATTAATACAGGTGTATTATCTCTGACAGGCTGGGGTGTGAAGGAGTAAACTACGAAGGTATATCATTAATACAGGTGTATTATCTCTGACAGGCTGGGGTGTGAAGGAGTAAAATCTGTAGTTATATCATTAATACAGGTGTATTATCTCTGACAGGCTGGGGTGTGAAGGAGTAAAATCCGTAGTTATATCATTAATACAGGTGTATCATCTCTGACAGGCTGGGGTGTGAAGGAGTAAAATCCGTAGTTATATCATTAATACAGGTGTATTATCTCTGACAGGCTGGGGTGTGAAGGAGTAAAATCCGTAGTTATATCATTCATACAGGTGTATTATCTCTGACAGGCTGGGGTGTGAAGGAGTAAAATCCTTAGTTATATCATTAATACAGGTGTATTATCTCTGACAGGCTGGGGTGTGAAGGAGGCTGGGGTGTGAAGGAGTAAAATCTGTAGTTATATCATTAATACAGGTGTATTATTTCTGACAGGCTGGGGTGTGAAGGAGTAAAATCCGTAGTTATATCATTAATACAGGTGTATCATCTCTGACAGGCTGGGGTGTGAAGGAGTAAAATCCGTAGTTATATCATTAATACAGGTGTATTATCTCTGACAGGCTGGGGTGTGAAGGAGTAAAATCCGTAGTTATATCATTAATACAGGTGTATTATCTCTGACAGGCTGGGGTGTGAAGGAGTAAAATCCTTAGTTATATCATTAATACAGGTGTATTATCTCTGACAGGCTGGGGTGTGAAGGAGTAAAATCCGAAGGTATATCATTAATACAGGTGTATTATCTCTGACAGGCTGGGGTGTGAAGGAGTAAAATCCGTAGTTATATCATTAATACAGGTGTATTATCTCTGACAGGCTGGGGTGTGAAGGCGTAAAATTCGTAGTTATATCATTAATACAGGTGTAGTATCTCTGACAGGCTGGGGTGTGAAGGAGTAAAATCCGTAGTTATATCATTAATACAGGTGTATTATCTCTGACAGGCTGGGGTGTGAAGGAGTAAAATCCGTAGTTATATCATTAATACAGGTGTAGTATCTCTGACAGGCTGGGGTGTGAAGGAGTAAAATCCGTAGTTATATCATTAATACAGGTGTAGTATCTCTGACAGGCTGGGGTGTGAAGGAGTAAAATCCGTAGTTATATCATTAACGCACAGGGGAATAAATGCTACACGAGATTTCACCATAGACGGTGGAGTGGCGCTGCCCACGCGTTTGGTACAGGGAACTCTGAGGCCGCGCCTCTGCTCTGTGGCTGTTATTTAGCCTCAGCGTATACGCGAGGAACATGTGATCACAAAACACATCAACTTGTCAGGGCCCGTGACTAATTTTGTTTTTCTTTTCCCACCGAACATTTCTTGAATTTAAAATAACTCGGTACGGCTGGCATTTTTCCTTCACTTATTGCAATTATTTTAAAATGAAGGATTGTGGCTGGCCCTGTTGCTGTTGCTAACGATTGCACCACGTCAGAACTGTGGATAGAGCACACATCGCACGCGACACAATCCAGCGATGAGAACGCATTTTTTTGATCTTCACCAGGGACTTAATAAAAAAAGGTCAAAGAAAACATCCCAATGCTGAAACATTCTATGCAAATTACTCAACTGGAATCACACAAACAGCAGCAAAATCATCACCCCTCTCCTGCAAAAACTTGCCAGGACCCTCCTGAAAATTAGTCTTTCGACTCAATGAAGGTTTCCTGCGTAAAAAAAAAAAACTTCATAATAATAAGAGGAATCCAGAGTGACAATGCAAATGACACTCATTTTGGCGATTTTATATTTTATGATGCTAGATAATAGTAAAGTAACATATTGTGCCTGCAGTATTCAAAATCCTACTCCACACTGTTATGTGGAAAGAGTTGGGTTATAAACGAGCATAGCATCCCATTGGCTGGCAGCATGGAATTCACGTTTGGAGGGCATTTTGCACTGCAGCAACCGAAAGTTCACACCTTCAACGAGAAACAAAATTGAGGGATTTCTGCCATAAAATACAAATAAAAAATTCCATTAAAATTGGGAAAAACAACCTCAAAGTATGATTCAACAATAATAATATTCGAGTACTTGGAATGAATGCTCAACTGAAACTGAATGGAGCAATTGTATATGCTGTACTGTACCGCCTTCACTAAATGCCAAAAACACATTCACTCGGTGATTTGTCCCACTGCTCCTGGAAACATCAGCAAATTTTGCCAAAAATCGTTATTTCCAGCAAATGAACTGAAAATTGGCCCCCGTATACGCAAGCCAACTATGCATTCACTGTGAGGGAATAGGTGTTACCCTTTCCGGCAATAATACATCATCTTGATACCAGCAAATAGAGTTCCATAGATATGAGGGAAGTAATTTAATGTTTAAAAGTCACTCATCAACCGTGACCGTATTTTAGCCTCACAATCTCACTTCGTAGATACAGCTGGTTGCTGAATCCAAGACACTTGCATTGAAAAACCGTAAGAAATCGTGACCTTAATATTACAAACAACTTGTGTGCATGTCCCAGTGTTTGTTTGCATGTTATAGGGCAGCGATGGGCAACTGCAGACGAGTTTGTGGGCCACATGGGTGGACCTCCTTCGCCTCAGTGGGCCGCAAGCGTGACACCATGCTTGTGCATCTCGCCATGACCCCACACATCACCCGAGAGACACCGAGACCGGCGCCACCACGAGAGCGGCACAGGACGCAAGTTGGCCTACCACTGCTCTAGGGGTGATGCAGTTGTTTGTATAATGCAGGGCTTACACGTGAGGGCAGGCCTCGTCTCCTTGATGCCAATGCCTTTGTCACATAGAGCCTTGGTGATCCAATCGAGCGCATCAACTGTTATACCCAGCTGGTGCAAACAACGACAAAAACAACAAAAATTCTCACAAGTTCAGAACATCATTCCCTCAATTTAAAACTACATTTTTGACACTTAGAGTCATGAAGTTCACTATTCCTCAGTTCTTGCATGTCACCGTTTTTTAAACTAAGTCAAGCGTCTTGAGTTGAAGGTGTTCTGTAAATATACAATTAGATGAGATTGAGCTGTTAAGGGTAAACATTTAGAATCAATCCATGGAATGTTTTTGCCAAACTAAAGAATGGAAAGTCTGGAATTGTCGTGCACTTCTCTGTGATGAATAAAACAATTTATATCGAGCATGAAATGCTATGTGGAAAGGAACATTTTATGTCAGTCAGTTATGGAATGCTGAAAACGATCAATTACATCTCTATAACACAGCACAGGCAAGAAGAGAAACAATAGCCAGAAACATTAGCTCACAATGTCTCTGTCATATGAGTGTCAATAGCAGCAGTGGTGATATTTATCGGTCTGTGCTTGTATGATGGTGCCAATACAAGTCCCTTGAGTGGTATCTCATCTCTTGAAAAACAACAAAGAAAATATGGGAGCCAGGTCTAGTTCAACTGATCCCTTTGTCTTTTTAGCATCTCATTCCAGAAACTCTTACAGACTGCTCCCTAATCCCCTTCACTACATTATCCCAGACATTAAGCATCTGAAAAACTGCACAAACCCTGGGCACTCCACAGTCTGGCTTCACCCCTTACTAAAAAATTACCACAAAAGACTGTTTTGACAGTCCTGGAATGATACAGGCATCTGCTCAATTAACGACCGATTTAACAAAGACAGGCAATGTATGTATGTTGAAATTCTTTCGCACCGTATGTAGCCAACCGTGGTAATTAGAGGTGCAGAACGTACATCGTACACCTTCCAGCCAAACATACATCTTCCAGATTCCCCAACAACCTGCAAATGCGTCACTTCCACAAACATCTACCCTGCAATTGTCTCGCCACTCCACTTGTGCTTCCCCAACCTGCCCTTTCTTGGTTAAACGAGTGGTCAATTCACGACAAGAAGTCACGAATATCCTCCCTTTTCTTGCATTCAACACCCACATGAGAGCACACCTTACTGCATGGAAAAAACATAATTACCAATCCAATCAACGATCATCAGTAGACCAATTCGCATGTGCCAAATGTATAATAATAATAACACTGTGTAACACATTTTTTTTTGTTCTGGGAAGTAAGTATTATTTCCTAATTGCTTATGCCTCAAAAGTACAGAAAATGGCTATTATTCCCCACAAACTTTGCTTTTGTGACCAGGACATTGATATGTTTTTATTTACCTATTTTCTAGAACAATCCAAATATATTCAGTGCTGAGTAAACTTGGAGTAACTTCTAGAACATTCTAGAACTTTCCAGTAATATAAATAGTAGTATATACATAGGGGCCTTAAGCCCACCATTCAGTTTAGTTCCAGCTGCCCAAGTGGATACATATCTGCATTTTTCTGAGATGGCATCAAGAGGCTGCAAGCATCCGGCAGACGCATTTTGCTATGTCTGCGGCCAATTTATCAAGACAAGAGCTAAAAAGTACTCTGTTAAGATGTATGAGGCCTACAAGGCATATTTCGGCATGCCTGTCGGGGATCAAGACAAACCCTGGGCACCTCATTTCACCTGCAAACAATGCAACAAAAACTCCGGAAGGTAAGATGGACAATTGTTGCTCAGAATTTTATGTTTAAAAAAATGTTAAAGTTTTTAATTTTCAATGTTATTTTAAAAATATATCATATATGAAAAATGTTGCGAGAATCTGACACATTAGTCATGGGTGAAATAAATGTATTTTTGTAGGATGATACAGAGGGGAAAAGAGAGCCATGAAGTTCGCTATCCCAATAATTTGATGGAAACCCACTAACCACTCAAGCAACTGCTACTTCTGCATGGTGGACCTTCCAAACGTCGGACTGGCAAGAATGCATCTGCTATCATGTATCCAGACCTTGCTTCATCCATCGCCCCGGTCCCACACTGCCATGAGCTCCCTGTACCCACTCCTCCGGACAGAGAGTGGCCGTCTTTAGAAGAGAGCAGCAATTCAGAGAGCGAGGAAGACGTTGTAGATCCAGATGACAATTTCGGAGGTGGAGCTAAAGAGAGAAACCCATACTACCCCAACCAAAAAGACCTCAACGACTTGACCAGAGACTTTAGTCTCACTAAGTCCACTGCCGAGCTTTTGACGTCTAGGCTTAAGCAGTGGAACTTATTGGATGAAAGTGTGCAAGTCGCAAATCAGAGGAAGCGTCACCAGCCTTTTTGCAGCTTAGTCACCCATCAAGATGGGCTCTGCTTATGCCACAATGTGACCAGTCTGTTCGAGGCAATCAGAACCGCCTGTAACCAGAATGAGTGGCGCCTCTTCATTGACAGCTCATCCAGGAGCCTCAAAGCCGTGCTGCTCCATAACGGTAACAAGTACCCATCTCTTCCCCTGGCTCACTTGGTGCACCTCAAAGAGAATTACAACAGCATCAAGACCTTGCTGGACGCCTTGAAGTATGATGAGTACGGCTGGGAGGTCATCGGAAACTTCAAAATGGTGGCATTCCTGATGGCTTTCCAAGGCGGTTTTACCAATTTTCCCTGTTATCTTTGTCTTTGGGACAGCAGGGACACCAAGGCGCACTACCACAGGCGAGACTGGCCACAGTGGACCGAGTTCTCTGTGGGAAGGAACAACGCCAAGTGGGAGCCACTGGTGGACCCCCGGAAGGTGCTGATGCCACCACTGCACATCAAATGGGACCTTATGAAACAATTTGTCAGAGCTGTAGATAAGGAGTCAGCAGCCTTCAAGTACCTTCAAGACTTATTCCCTAAGCTGTCTGAGGCAAAGGTCAAAGCCGGTGTCTTCATCGGACCACAGATAAAGAAGATCTTGGAGTGCAATGAATTCCCCAAGAAGCTCACTCGTAAGGAGAAAGCGGCTTGGAACAGCTTTGTCGCAGTGGTTTGTGGCTTCCTGGGCAATCACAAGGTCGAAAATTATGTGGAGCTGAATTTCGATTGAAAGCTTTCGTGACTGCAGGGATTCATCTTATTGGTTCTTTCGGTAAAGTCACGTAGAATGGCAATAAAATAATAAAAATAAAACATAATAAAATAAAATTCTCACGACGTTTCGGCCACAACACAAGTAGCCTTCTTCAGGTGAAGGAACAGAACTGTCGGGACGACAGCGCTTCAATGAACACCGCTAAGCGTGGCAGCGTCTTTTAAGCTGGGTGGGAGGAGCAGAGCGCCTTGACAAAGGAGTTTACATATCAACAGGAGAATTTAGCATTGAAATAGCTGTGTTAAAGTGTTGGATTAGCAGGGTGTTAAAGTCAGAATTTAGCATGTAACTGGGAGATTACCATGATGTTAGTGTGACGGATTAGCATGTAACTAGTCACGGAAGTAGCTATGTTAAAGTCATAGTTTACATATCAACAGAGGCATTTAGTATATTGACGTAAAAGAACTGCAACTACCCAACTATCATACAATAAGCCGATGTGAAAAAACTAAGTATAAATTACATCAATATAATAAATGTACTCAATATATTATTCAATATGTTGAGCTCTTAACATAAAGTAACTGGGTATACACTACACTATATGAATACCATATAGTAAACTGATAAAAAACTAAAATATAAACTACATCAATATTATCAATAAACTCTATATACTCTCCAATCAGCTGAGCTACTAAAAATAAGTCGTTATACATCGCAATTCTATGTCAAAAAAAGTGGCGGTTTATTGTTCTTTTGAACGTTAGCACCACGGAAAGCGACGAGCTTTGATCAGACGGACGAGTCCATCTATGCTCGGAACGGAGGAGGGGGGAGAAACAGCCACGATGCGCTGCTCTGTCCTGTGTTGCGTTACAACTATGCTATAAACTAGACTACTATACATTACAATGTTATGCTATCGTATACACAGCCCAATGTAAGCTCTAACATTATGCATTATATTGATATGTCTCCAACTAAACTTTTTTCTACATTACACGACTATACACCGTAATATACACTGCCATAGACAAACCCCACCCTTGAATTATACAATGCGTTACTATACACTACCCTATACTTTAGACTATAAAATATTAGACTTGTAATATTATACTATGTATTATTCTACCAACCCTACTGTGTACCACACTGCTGTATATTTACTATACAATTACGACTTTGTGAACGTCTAGCTTTTCGGTGTGTGGGTCCGATTTCTTGTGGAGCTGGTTGAGACTCTGGTGAAGAACTACGGCACAATGGGCTGTAGGATGTCCCTCAAAGTTCATATCCTTGATGCTCATCTTGATAAATTCAAGGAGAACATGGGAGTGTACTCGGAGGAGCAAGGTGAGCGCTTCCACCAGGATATACTGGACTTTGAACGCTGCTACCAAGGGCAGTATAACGAGAACATGATGGGAGATTACATTTGGGGGCTGATTCGTGAAAGTGATTTACAATATAATCGTAAATCTCGAAAAACTACTCACTTCTAAATCTTTTGTAGCAATTTTTGTATTACTTTAGTATAAATACATGTTAATTTTGATTCATATGTTGTTTTCTGACTTTATGTGAACAAAAAGACACAAATTCGCCCGTTTTCTCATTGAAATTATGTCAATTTCAAAATATCACTGTCCTGGTCACAAAAGCTATTTTCTATACTTTCTAGGCATAAGCAATAACGAAATAACACTTACTACCCAGGAACAGAAATTGTGTTACATAGCGTAATTATCATCACTTATGCTTGTTTACTCAAGAAAGCCTCACTCTGATTCTCAAAACTCTTTTTCAGAATGGTCCTGCAAAGTTTTGACAGCAAGAGACGATGTTGCGATGTGTACTCCCTATTGAATAGTTTGCTGATATCTCAGCATTGGCAAGTTTGGTCAATACCACTTACATTAATTGGCTAAAAAAATTATTATTATTTTTTACCAGGTAAGGCCCACTGAGCTATATAGCTCTTTTTTAGAAGCTACCTGGGTACAAATGATAGCAGCCAAATACTCTAATTGTGTATTTTAGCTTTCCGTATGTTGAACTTCATTTTCACCGTATGTAGCCAACTTTGTAAACCGGAAGAGATAAGGTATTCAGTATCCTGTTAAGGGGTAAAAGTGCTTTTTCATGCACCCCTATATTTAATTCAGGCATGGAGGGTAAACATTCCACAACATTTCCACTGACCTTCTCTTCTATCTGATGGAGCCGGACCTCCAACGCAGCTGTTCTGCCCTCCCCAGAAACATCCAAGAACTGCATCACCGAGTCCATCCTGGTGTCATCCCAGACCGGAGTTAATGCCAAAACAACAACAATGCCACCATTACATATTTCACAACTGTCCAAAACCTCTCTCATAGTAATAGGTTACGTATTTTAATGACAAACATTTATCATATTCTTTGGTTCTTTCGGTAAATTCACATAGATAGAAAATAACAAAAAGGTAAAAAGCCACAAAGTTTTGATCGCAACACAAGCGATCGTCCTCATGTAAACAAATACAGCTGGCGGACCGTTGAAAAAAATATAGCTAGAGAGCTGCTTGAGCCAAATGCAGAGCCACTGCAATCAAAGGTTTCATATGCTTGGAGTAGGCGGGGCTAGAAATGGAATTTCCAAGTAAATGCAAGATCGCAGAGCTAGGAATACCTCGGCTAATTTTGTTTGTATTAACCACAATACTTGTGGTCAGAATGCAAACGGCATCTCATCTGAGAAATGAGAGACTCGATCAGATGAGCCCTCCTGTCTCGGAGACTGTTAAAAGATCTAATGGTTGTGTGGAAACCCTCCCCGTAGAGGTGGTTAAATCTTGACTTAAAGCTTTCGTGAATGCAATAGATCTTTTAACAGACTCCGAGACAGGAGGACTCATCTGATCGAGTCTCTCACTTCTCTGAAGAGATGCCGCGACACCAAGGTAATACCGATCACCTTATTTTTGTTTGCATTCTGACCACAAGTATTGTGGTTAATACAGACATAATTAGCCGATGTATTCCTGGCTCTGCGATCTTGCATTTACTTGCAAAATCCATCTCTAGCCCTGCCTACTCCAAGCATATGAAACCTTTGATTGCAGTGGCTCTGCATTTGGCTCAAGCAGCTCTCTCGCTATATTTATCTCAACGGTCCGCCTGCTGTATTTGTTCACCTGAGGACGATCGCCTGTGATGCGATCGAAACGTCGTGGTTTTTTACCTTTTTGTTATTTTCTATCTACGTGACTTTACCGAAAGAACCAAAGAATATTAATTCCTGCAGTCACGAAAGCTTTAAGTCAAGATTTAAACATTCATCAATATTTTTTTTTTAAATATACAAAATATCGAGTGAAGAGCAGGTACATTTTTCAGCATTGGGATGTGGTTTTGGCCAATACCAGTGACAGTGGATGTGTGTTTTCAGGAAACACATGCAGAACAGGGGGAGAGCATACTACTTGGATGTCTGTGTGTGTGTGTGTCGGTGCCGATCACTGTGCTACACCTTTCATCATAAGTCCACCAATCAAATGCTAATTTTTACGCTAATTCCTTTGTCAAGGCACCTTAATCCCTCTCACACAGCTTAAAGGTGCACTGCCGCGTGCTACACCTTTCATCATGCTAATTCCGCCAATCAAATGCTAATTTTTACGCTAATTCCTTTGTCGAGGCACCTTAATCCCTCTCACACAGCTTAAAGGTCGTAGTCTGAGCTTGGCTCTGTTTCACTCCAGCGCAGTCTTCGAGACAGGCTGGTCCCTTCACCTGATGAAGGCCGCTTGTGTTGTGGCCGAAACGTCGTGATTTTTGTTGTTTTATTTTTTTTACCTTCGTGACTTTACCGAATAGAACCAAAGAGTGTGTGTGTGCGGTCTGTATTTTGAGTTTCATACTTAACTTGCAATTTAGCAATCTTTGAAATAGCGTGATCAACCGGATTATGCGTTAATTGTGTTTTGACCGACCGTCTGTGTTGCTTTATATGGTTTCCAAATTTTGCTAAACCCTGTTTGTCTGGTATGCTTCTCTCTCTGTGTCCCCTGTTGTATCTGTGTTAGTTCCCCCCTATACTTGGGTGTCTGTATATACATCTGAGGTTATGTGTTTCCCCTCTCTGGTAAATTTAGCTCTTTTGTACCTGATGATGGCTGCTTGTGTTGCAACCGAAACGTCGTATGCTATTGTGTTATTTTATTATTTCTTATTTATACGTGACTTTACCGAAAAAAACAAAGAGAACATACAAATGTATCACCGCAAGGCATTCGAGTGGGGCATTGAACCTAGGGCCTACTTGCTCTGAGGCACGAGTGTAACCACTTCACATCTTTGTCACCGAATAATAAACCAAGCAGACTGATCAGAAACCCATTTTCTGTGCTGCCATCTACTAGCATGCTATGAAGGGTTTATTAATACTTTCAAAGTTCTGGCAATGTTCTGTTCTGTCACAGTGTAAAACTGCTTACCACAGGCACACTTGTGTTACGCATGCACACAACGAGTGAACATCTCAATCAACAGCTCCCATCACATCTTATAATCGCAGCATGCAGCATCCATCAAGATTCTATTCATGTAACTTTTTAAGAAACCACATTCATCCTTTACAAACGTACGTTAAGGAACTTGATTTGAAGCTTTTGTGACTGCAGGAATTACTCTTTGGTTCTTTCGGTAAAGTCAGGTAGAAAGAAAAAAAAAAGAATATAATACGACGTTTCGATTGCAATACAAGTAATCGTCATCAGGTAGAAAACAAACCTAGTGAACTTACAATGCAATACAACACAGAGAGTCGGCTGATTACGTTCTTCCAAAGAGTGCTAAATTTGAGAGAGAGACAAAACACAGAGACGGAGGCACACAGACAGAAACACAAGCAGAGAGAGACGACACAGAGACACAGAGAGAGAGAGAGACACACAACATATGCACACAGAGACCCAACGCAGCAGTACGTACAGGTAAGCTGAGAAGCAGGCTACAGTGTAGATGATAGACTGCGAGTACGCCAACTCAATGAGTTCTTAGCGAAAGATTAAATATGATGTTTGTGTATGTCATCGATTCGGAAGACTAAAATAAAAACGTTATTGGTACCGAGGCTACTACAAGGCTATGTGGGAGCGTGTGTTGCACAGTTTGGCACCATCTATCATAGAGTGTGGTCGTGTTGCTACAGCTCTCTGCGGCGAGTACAATGTCTTAAAAACAGCGGCTTGCACGTCCTGAGATTCAGCGGTAAAAAATAACCCACATAATAAATTGTAGATATCTCAGAACTGGAAATGGCTAACCTATTACAATTTACATTAAATAATATTCCGTTGCTCGCCGTTTATATGCAATTAGATGTTACTTATAACATGGGGCAGAGAAAGCTGTGGATTAGTATGTTGTAGGAGCTAAATGATCGTTTGTGGAAGTGGAGAGGAGGGCAGAGAACAGACGAGCACTGAGTAGATGGCAACCAGGGTCCCATCGTTAAGGCAGAGCACCACGGGAGGAGGAGGATGCCGTAGGCCAGTGATGGGCAACCCAGACGAGCCGTTGGGTGACATGAGCGTCCCTCCTTCAATTCAGTAGGCCACAAGTTTGAAATCGTCTTCATGCACTCACTTATACAAATGTCACACCCTCGCAGTGTTAAACTTTAGCTTATAGCTCGTCCATCATTGTTGTGACAAAGCATAACACTGCACCATTCTGACTCCGAGCTATAGGCGCTTGCATCTCCCTGTTGTGTGAGAAACAGCAAGCACAGCTAAGCCCAACACAAACGTATGCAACCCAGGAGTGACAGGACATTGCAGACACCCCACCTTCAAACGCTTCACAGATATTAACTGTGAAAGAAACACACCTAGACCAGGTCACCACGAGGGACTCCGAGACGCAGGTTGCCCATTACTGGCGTAGGCTTCATACAACGGCGGTACTATTGAATGCTAAATTGTCTGTGGGGAACTCACTTCTCTGCCGTCGACTTAATCCTCTCCTCCAGTCTCTGGCTCTTCTCGGTGAGCTGGCTCGCCACGTAGCTCTCCCGCATAATGCTCTCCCATGCCAGAAACTCGCGCTCCTCCGACTCACTGAAACCCTTCTCTGCGGGGAACACGTGGAATGAACTCTCATTGGATGTAATTACCAGCGAAACGTCGTACTCAAACTGTAAATGTTGTGGATTCACTCTTCAACACACCGGTGGGCTAAAGTAGTGAACTATTTGTCTTTTGTCAACGTGACACTTTTTTGCTGATTGGCCGTGTCGGGTGGTGGAAGGTTACGACACATTTATAAATAACGCGATCTAACCCAAAAACCTTTATTATGAATCATTGTGTTGGTTTGTAAGATTTTGGGGAAAACAAGGGATGGGTTAACATTTAAAACCTTTCCCAGGGAAATCCTCACCAAATCCTCAAGAATGCTTATGCGGGTCCTTGCTTGGCATGTTATATTAATTCTTAAATGAGTGTTTTTGTTTTAAAGCAGGCGTAATGGAATGGTGATGCTCTAGGTCGGAGGCGAGTCCAGTGAATTCTGTGACTCACCATGCGGGTGGGAGAGAGTCTGCATTAAATTAAAATGATTCTAAGGATTTTTAGGACTCACTGCACCACTTAAAATAATAATTTTGCACATTTTTTTTCCAAATTTCCCAATGTAGGCTCTGATCGGAAAAAAGTTTTGCAACTTTTGTCGAGACATGTGGGCAGCATAGTAGCACAGTGCCAACACTCACTCCTCACAGCAAGAAGCGCCTGGGTTCGATTCCTGGCATGGGCGTCTTTCTGTGTGGAGTTTGTATGTTCTCTCTCCCCCTGTCCTGCATGGGTTTCCTCTGCAGTTTCCTGCCATAGCTAAAAAAACAACATACAATGTAACTGGCATTGGCCACATATCCCAATAGTGAAAAATGGATTATGCACAGCAGCAGCATCACTCCCTACAGAAAATAAAACTTGACCCTCCTTACAAAGAGTTGAGACTTGGTGAGGATTTCCCGGGGTAAAGCAGGGTAATAATAATAATTATCATAAAAAATAAAAGTTGCCAAAGTTGCAATACTAGCATTCCCATGTTGTAGGATTGCAACAAGCGAAATACATTATTAATATATATTCACAATAATTTTGTCCATAAAACCAATGCTACAATGCTCGTTCATGAAAAAAGCATATATGAATACCATTTCATAAATATGCCGCAGCAATAACTATTACACCAATGTGGATTTTGTATACTTTTAACAGTGTCTTTGAAGCAAATAAAGCACAAAAACAATTTGAACAATTGGATGCAACTGGGCGGAGTATCTGATGCCAAGTTCTTGAGGAAGTATCATGGACAGAGCCAAGCGGAAGCAAGGCCACGATCGCCGACATTTTTGAGAAATTACATGGCACACAGGCAGAGAGAAGCTTTTGTGCAATCAAGGTGTACGCGTCAGTGGGTAGCCATCACGCGAAGTAAACCAGGGGGAAGGAAGTCTCACTGAAGTCCTCGTGCTTGTGTTGGGGCTTCTTGAGGATGAACCGTCTCACAAATAAGTATAAGTGGCTGAAGACGATGAGCGGCGGTGCCAGGGAGGGCCGGCTGTGGTACTCGTTCACCAACTCGTACCGCTGGAACTTCCAGATGGTGTCCGTGTTGTCCTGCACCAACTGGAAGGTGTAGCTACAACGTGACAAGGACATCCACTCCTGCTCAGGCACGAAACTATTCATCAGCTGATTACTTACAATAGGATCATGATACGTGCTTACCAGTTGCATATATGAGTACCATCCCAATTGCTTTGTATATCTCAACTTAATGCATATTATCCTTGTCATCACCTACGCTTGTTTACCCAGGAAGCCTCGCTAAGCCTCAAGTCTCTTCTTCAGGAGGGTCCTGCCAAGTTTTACGTGGTAGGAGGCGATGTTGCTGCTCCTGTGTGTCATCCCAATTGAGTAATTTGCAGGTAATTTTTCAGAAATTGGATGTTTGGCCAATACCACGCCGAGGAATGGCCCTCTAGTGCTGGTTTGTGTTCTCCGATTTGGCCGCTTAGAAACAACGCGACTTCCTAACGGCAACACAACTTTATCCTGAACCTGCGTTCATATGAAATCATCTTCACAGGCGTTTCCCCGCGCCTCCGATTAGCAGGGTTGGCTACGTACGGTGCGAAAGACATACGTGCATACGTACATCGTGCCCTGCAACCTGTGACGAACCGCGAACAGAGCTCAGCGTGGATGTTTAAATACGTGTTGAGTGTTCAAGTTGCTTTACTCGCATCTAAACGATGTCTTCAAAATCACATTTGAGCTGAGCTGATTTATCGTGCACCACTACTCCATGCTTTGCTCAGTCTGGAGTCCCGTGAGCTCCTTGGGGCCCTGCACCTTTGCTTAGTTTGCTTATGCCTTGCTCCACCGCCACTGCTAATAGCCGGTTATCAAATTACTACCTCCACCGTGAACCTAAGAACCTTACCTCCCGTCCCATCTACTGTGCGCCGTTAACATGGATGCGCATGTAACTTGCAGGCTCTCTGCTTCAGCACCAACTGGTAGGAGGGTTGATTCAACCCATCATTCATTCGGGGTAGATAAAATGAGTACCGCTCTGTGGCAAAGTCAACATCGGTGGTCCTCTGGACCTACTCGCTTCCGCCATAGGAATATTAGATGAGCACCGCTTCAATGCTCGGTTGAGCCAAAAATTCAGTCACTTTTGATTATTCAACGGCGGCACCATTGCATCATAAAAGTGTGGTCAATTTGAAGATGGAGGTCACCATCTAAACTTCTCAACATCCCTCCCAAAGTAGAAATGGATGGCATTGCAACTAGATTCCTATTCATTTCATGGGGGTTTATTTATTTCCTTAATGCAGTACTCTGCATTCAAATGGATTGAGTTTGTTGATAGCCAAGGAATTGTCCATAGAATCCCCATTCATATGACTGAAAATTCCAATCTTCGAACAAATGGGAATAGATTTGCATATCCACAGTATGCTACGCTGAGCCTGTTATAATTGCGCGTAGGTACATTGAGATTTGCTTACAGAAAATCATCCATTGAAGAATAAGAATTTCCGTATGAATCTCTCAGCAATCAATGGTGGACAAGGCAGAATGACAATGCTGTGATGCATCTAAATGTATATATAGTCATTTCTGCTATAACGAGTCTTTCCAAAACACGAATTGTATATAACGCGATGCATGTATTAGGAAGCATTTTTTTCTAAAGCGACTTCTGTATTTCCCTTTTTCTTGGTCTTCCTGCCTATGCCTTCACTCCCCTCTAGCAAATTCAAAACTCTTCATCCCGGATTATGTTTTATCTTCCACATCACACCCTTGTCCAACTCCATTGGCTTCCCGTCTACTAGTGCTGTTTATTCGAATTCCTCACCCTCGTTTACAAATCGCTCCATGGTTCTGCCCCACCCTATCTCGTGTCTCCTATTTCTTATTACGTCCCACCTCGGCCCCTGCGTTCACAATCTCTGTTATCCCTCACTACGCCCCCCCCTCCTCCTCCCTGTGCTCAGTCACGTTTCTGCTCCTTTTCCCTCCTGGCTCTCCTCCATTGGAATAAACTCCCACTCCACATCAAACAAGCAACTTCACTCACCATTTTTCGTTCCACCCTTAACACTTTTTTCAAGAGCGTATCCCTTCACTACTTCCTGTCCTCATCCTCAAAACCTTAACGATTCTCCCCCTTTTCCTTCTAACCTCGCTCCTCCCTCTCCCTATCATCGCCCTTCCTTGCTATGCCTTCCCTTCCCCAATACTCAAATCCCATCCCTTTTCCCCATCAGCCAATACGAATGTACCATTTTTAATTCGCTTTGACGAAAGCGCTATATAATATCTTAGATAAGATAACGCGATCGAGTGACCATAACTACATCACGCGAGTAGGAACAAGCAGTTGTGCGGCTGCCTCAGCGTAACATCACACAGGGCGGGATGTTGTTTTGTTGATTATAATGAGTGGCTTAGCGACTAACACTGTAACATGTATTTTCACTAATTTAATTTTGTATTATTAATGAATCAATGATTCATTTATTCTACGCGATCTAAACAAAAACCTATATTATGGATGATATTCGTCGCGAAAGCCTACGTGTTAAACTGAATCAATGATTATTATATTGTGATGTTTCTTCAGAAACGCAACTACCGCGTTATAGGAGAAGAGAATGTATGAGTGTCGTTTAAAAAAAAAGTCAATTAGGCAGCAGGCAGAGAAACACTTGAGCCAATAAACTGTAGCATAATTACTTGAACATGGCGATCAGCAGGTTGAGCAGCAGGATGTTGGCAAACAGCAGGTAGAGGCAGGTGAGCAGGATGGTGAGCCAGTCTACGCCCAGCACCGGACACCTGGGCTGGCTGGTGTTAATGCCGTTGTTTGTGCACGACGTGGTGTCAAACGTGGTACCTGAGAAGTCACCGCTCACAGAGTGAGATTCGCGTTCGAGACACGGCTAACGAACAGCAACGACGTTCTCTCCGCTCTAACGGTGCTCGCGACCGCTTTTAGAAAACGTCAAGACATTTGATACATTTTCACATGCGTGCACATTTTTAGGTGGATTTGTTGTATTAAATTAAATTAAACACCACTATATTGTACAGGGTGGAGTGGTGGCGAGGTGTTTAGCGCACTGCACTGTGAACCTGGCTCACCCGAGTTTCCTGGCTGCTTGCTCCCGCGGGCGGAAAGAGAAATCTGAACCTGTCCTGCTCCAGCCTCCCTTTCTCAACCCACACTGACCAGCACGGTGAAGTATGGTCGAACAACCCACATGACTATCAGGGGCTGGGGAAGCCTTCATTCAGCAGTGCATTGACACAGTGCTGTAAATGATTATTTTATGAATAGTGTTTATACGAATTGAACTGTTTCGTGACAGCTTAGGTGTATAGTGGAAAATAATGAACACAGTAACTAGAGTTACATTTCTCGCATCCATTGACATCCCTAACAATGCTGAGAATGTTTTACTGATGTAAAAATATTGACCATGCAGAGACGGCCAAGTAGCTATCTTGAGGGATGGAGAGAATGCCTCTGATTGGGTGGAATGGCCCCTTCCTTTTGGTAATTTTGTCCTCCTTTGCCTTTATATATTAATGCTCCCATGCCAAAATCATCAAGCCTGCCAGGCTCACCAAGAGCGATGCTTGTTATTCAACTTCTGACTTGTTTCTGCTAAGTAGGAGCACGACGCAATGACATCAATTATCCCTCACCCCCTCTGCCCCTTCTGTTTATGCGACCATCTGATGTGATTTAAAGTACACTAAATCCCTGCGTTTTCACTTTCACAAAGTTTTTCTTTAATGGAATGTTTTTAGCTTAACACGCACCGCACCCGCTATAACGCGTGTCTAGTGCGTGATGGACTACTCGCTATAACGAAAGTCTAGCATGTGATGGACTACTCGTTATAATGAAAGTCTAATGCGTGATGGACTACTCGCTATAACGAAAGTCTAGCATGTGATGGACTACTCGCTATAACGAAAGCCTAGCGTGTGATGGACTACTCGCTATAACGAAAGTCTAGCATGTGATGGACTACTCGCTATAACGAAAGTCTAGCGCGTGATGGACTACTCGCTATAACGAAAGTCTAGCATGTGATGGACTACTCGCTATAACGAAAGTCTAGCGCGTGATGGACTACTCGCTATAACGAAAGTCTAGCATGTGATGGACTACTCGCTATAACGAAAGTCTAGCATGTGATGGACTACTCGCTATAACGAAAGTCTAGCATGTGATGGACTACTCGCTATAACGAAAGCCTAGCGTGTGATGGACTACTCGCTATAATGAAAGTCTAGCATGTGATGGACTACTCGCTATAACGAAAGTCTAGCGCGTAATGGACTACTCGCTATAACGAAAGTCTAGCATGTGATGGACTACTCGCTATAACGAAAGTCTAGCGCGTGATGGACTACTCACTATAACGAAAGTCTAGCATGTGATGGACTACTCGCTATAACGAAAGTCTAGCATGTGATGGACTACTCGCTATAACGAAAGCCTAGCGTGTGATGGACTACTCGCTATAACGAAAGCCTAGCGCGTGATGGACTACTCGCTATAACGAAAGTCTAGCGCGTGATGGACTACTCGCTATAACGAAAGTCTAGCGTGTGATGGACTACTCGCTATAACGTGAGTCTAGCGTGTGATGGACTACTCGCTATAACGAAAGTCTAGTGTGTGATGGACTACTCGCTATAACGTGAGTCTAGCACGTGATGAACTACTTTTCTGAGCGACATGGGTGTTGGCAGCGTTGTTCGGTGATGCTGGAAACTGGTACTGTAGTACTGGTACTGCAGTACTAGCCATCTTTCCCTCACTCACTTTATAGTCAAATAAATGACTGTCACACATAGCGTAATTTTAGAAATACTATATCAACACAAAACATCTAAAACGAAACTTGTAAAAAATGTACTGTAAAGTAAAAACAACAATGGAATGGCACCCCTACCTTCACTATTATTTATTACAGGAAAATCACTCCACCCTCTTAACACATATTCACTTTACATGGCAATTCTCAGGATCGCAACCCCAATGCTAAGCGGGGACTCGCCGTATACATGAAAAACTACGGCCTAACTTCTAACCAAAAGGTCACACGCGGCACTGCTCAACATTGATCACGCACTGTTGATGCTCATGGAGCCAGACCCGTCTATACCGAGTTTGTTGGAGGTCATCAGTGACTTTGGCCAGGCCTTGGAGTACAAGCTGTATGCTAGTGAGTCATTAGTTCAGTGGTAATCCCTCTGCATAAATTGGACCAAGGCTGGTGCCCAATCTGATGGAACTAGACATCCATGAAACACATGGGGGTTTGTATTTCTAGTCTCAAAGAGTCTAAATCAGAATAATTAACTCTCCAGATCAGTGGAACTCTCTGGAGCTGCATCTCATTGGTTGTTCAAATGTAGTAAAACAAATGACACTGCCCAGAGCCCTGTGTCTATTCGAATTCTTCTGACACGTCTCCAGGCCTTGTTACATCCTGTCTTCTCATCATTTATGAATAATCGTATGACTCGTATTGGCTGTAGATCCCTCCACATTACTAGATCCTAAAGGGGCTTACGCCTCAGGGATTCTCACAAGCGCTTTCTTGCTACTTGAACTGTGTTATACAAATTGTACAAATCTGTAGAATCTCTCAAGAGGGATGGGTGGACCTCTCGTCATTGGCTGGGCTGCTGTATTCCCATTCCAAAGATTGGCCAAAAATCTCCACATCTTCTCTGGACTCCTTTGCAGTAGCCCTCGTCCAAACTGGGCCAGAGGAGAAGGCATCGTATCCAGGAAGCCACTTGTAGCAATGCACATTTAAATAATTTAGACTGATTTTTTTTTTCTCTGGAACTGCTTCTTGTGTTTAGTTTGTTGCCGATTAGCGCGGTTGGGTACGTTCAGTGGGAAAGAAGTAATACAACATACAACGTGAATGCTGCACGTACTGTCAACCCTGGTGGGGAACTGTCCGAAGATGAGCAGGTAGGGCTGGTAGACGACTCCACGAAAGATCCAATCCAGCCGCTGTTCGTTGAGGATGAGAATCCCCTGAGTGGCCACTCCGTAGGCCACCACCCACACGCCCAGCAGGAACAGGAAGAAGAAGATATCCTTTACCTAAGGTGGGATGTTTAATACAAAACAAAAAACACCCAGATGCACAAGTGTTACCACTGCACCAAATACCCCGCTGCGCTGTCTGCAGGAAATTATGTAATAACTAAACAAAGAGATAGCAGAGTGGGGATAATGATAAATATGAACAAAAACAAACGCCATGTGAAATGAGTTATCTAAACAAATGAAAAACAACTGTTGGAGCGATACAACAGGAAATCTCAATCGATAAATATATCTAGTGTTGAAAACAAGCTGAGATCAAAATTATAAAAATAAAGAGGTGAGTGAGAGCACGATTGAGTGCTTTTGGAAAATTAAATCTGATAACGAAAAGTATCAATTGTACATACGTACATATGCCACATTTATTTGATTTTGATCAACCGTTCCGTTCATGATTAACATGAATGGGCACCACGGTGGCAAGATATTAACTACCTCACCTCGTATACAGGAGTACATAGGTTCGATCGTTCGACACCTGTATATTTGGAGTTTACATGTTCAACCCTGTGGTCTGGGGGATTTTTCTCCAGTTGTTTAGATTATTTGGCAGTTTTAAATTTCCACATGATAAGCCACTTTGTTGAGCTATCACTTGTTGTCAGGTCACTTCTGAAAAAGAGCTCGATAGCTCAGTGGGCCTGATCTGGTAAAATAAAAAAAATGTGTTTTGTTTTAATTTAGTTTAACCGGCCTAGTACTGCACCCACCATGCGTTTGACAATAATGATCTTCGGCCCTAGGGTTTTGTTGACGGTGAAGATGTGCATCAAGCGGAGACAGAAGACCATGTAATCCACACAGAGCACGGAGCGGCCAGCCTGGAATGTCGATTCGTTGATGCTGTTCGGGATGAGCCTGTAACACCAATACACGTGCCATGGCTAAGGCATACAGGTCGAGCTCATTGAGTACAATTTGATTAATTATGATTTGTTTAAATTTCCCTGATCATTTATGTGCTGGAAACTCAAAATAAACGGTTTAAAACTCGACAGTAAGAGAGATGGTTGCGAGGTACAAAAAACATTCTGCCAACGGTTGCTGCGGCGGGAATTATTTGGAGTCATTCTTTTGAGGTATTGGGTTTTTGAATCGATTATCTTGGGCATAAGTGAATGTGTGCAGTGAGAATGTTCTACACAAGACACTCCTAGCTGCCTGTGATTGGTGCATCGTTAAACGACACAGATATGACCGGATCATTACACGGCCTAACCCTAAAAATGTATTATGAATCAAAACATTGGCTCTGAAAACTTGCGTGCTAAAATGTCTTTGATGAAAGAAGAATAGGCTTTACCCTTTCCGGCAATAATATGGGAGATGTTAAGATGTTCAACCACCAAATAAACACACCTATTGCAAGGCATCACATCTGCATTGACCACACATCATGCTTGTGATAAAACATGCCAAAAAACGTGCTTTAATAATAATGTATGCATTGTCTTTGAAACTGATTGGCCTACACCAGGGACAGGCTCCTTTATGGCCTTTTCTCACCAGTGTTAGACTGGAGAACAACGCCAAAAGGCGAACAGCTGCAATTTTTTCCTGGAAAGGGTGAAGCCTATTATTTTTTCATCATTTTGATACCGGCAAAAAGGGTCTCATGGATTAAAAAATATTTCTGTTGTGTGCCATTCAAAACAAACTCAAGTGATGAAATACTGTTTGACAGATAAAGAGCAAACCAAGAAACATATCACGTTATCACGAACGTTTCAGATGAGTGGTGGCCAATAAGAGGTTTAAAACACCATATATGCACGGGAAGATGAAAACTCCCCTGGAACACGCATTGTTTGGTGACCTTGAAAAATTGTAATCGGCCCGGCAATCGACTTATGTCGCTCTTCCCTGCACAATAAGAGCATAAATGCGTGCCGCATCGTGAGTTTAATTGTACAGAGTAAGCCGCACATGTCGTTGGTTCGTCCCACCTGCATATGACTCCGATTGTGAAGAGAAGCAAAGCCAGAATGTCGATACGGTTCCAGATGTCTTTGATGTAGCGGACTGCAGCCTTCCATTGCCCTGCTTTCTCTGGGTCAGTGAAAACCTGCAGAGCAAAAGCATCGTCACACGACAGCTGTGGACAGGTGTGGAATGTCATGGCAATGCGGTGTATGGCTGCCCCAGTACGTCAGGGTGGGCAACATTAATGTGAATGATAGGATACACATCTAATGCAGCCATCTTATGTTATATTTTTTATAATGCTTCTTTATCCAGCAAGGTCGAACCGAGTGTCAAGACTATATTTCAGGAGGGTCCTGCCAAGTTTTTGCAGTAGGGGAGATGTTGCTGTGTGTAATCCCAATTTTTCAACTTTGGGATGTTTTGGTATCTCGTACGGTTTTTTTTTGCTTTAGGATGGAAACCGAAGATCCTGGAGAAAACCCATGCAGAACAGGGGGAGAGAGCAGATACAAACTCCTCACAGAAAGGTGCCCGAGTCTGGAATTGAACCCAGGCACTTCTTGCTGTGAGGCACAAGTGTTACCACTGTGCCACCATCCTGCCATCCCTAGTGTAAATGAAGCTGTAGTGTACATTTAGATTTACAGTATCGCTGACTATTTATAGGGTGAAACTGCAATTCATATGACGATAAATGTAGCTTTATTAACAACTCAAATTTCGGCGGCCTACACCCAACTTATTCTGACTCCTACGGAGGACTACTCAGCGGCTCGCGCCTCGCCTGTCGCCCCCACTGATGTCCTGTTCTCTCCCCCCCCCCCAATGTGTGCAGATACTACTGACTCTATTGTATGTTTGGTGTGTCGGCGGCATGTATGAAACATTTGGGGGTGAGGGAGCTAATTATTATTTTTAGGGGGCTGGAGTCGACAATTTTTGTAAACCTGTTGGTTTATTTTAGATTCAGGCCTTCTGAAAGGCTCTTATAGTTTAGTTGACAGACAAATAGACACATGGAACGCCGGGCTTTTATAATAGATAGGTGACCTCTAGTTAGAGCCAAAAAGAGACCAGAGGTCCCCCAACAACTCACAAACAATAACAGATCACGACATAGTGTGGGATATACTTATGCTAACGCAATTATGCTGACGTAAACCAAGGTGGGATGCACGCGATCCTAAGGGGTACAAGCGCCGCACGTAATCGTCACCTGACGCAGCTCCTCCAGGATGAGCGACAGGACCCAAGCGTAGAGGACGTACTCGGGCCAATCGGGCGTATACTGGAAGTCCATGATGATCACATAGGCGAAGAGCCATAGGAAGATGAAGTAAGACACCACGTTGGCCCAGAAGACTGTGATGGGCGCCGTCCAAAAGTTCCGCCAACGCTGGAACACCGTGATAGTCGGAGAGCGCTTGCTCACCACATTCTTTATGGATGCTGTGGGCAATGACCTGTTCAACAAGTAAACATCGACACACACAAAGACAAACAGAGACTGTTTGAGCAAGTGCTGTTAGCTATCTTACAGTTACATGCTAATTTCTCACGTTAACATCAATAGCCCCGGCCACTTCTTTATGACCCTTGAACTGCACCCATTTCAAACCTTTTAAAACAGTCTTCCTCAGCAGCAGACCATGCTTACCCACCTGATGACGGACGCTTGTGTTGCGCCCGAAACGTCGTGATTTATTTTATTTTATACCTACGTGACTTTACCGAAAGAACCAAAGAGTATGCTGTTAGCTAGTAGCACCTATGAAGGCCAGCATGGCACAAGAGGGGATGGGTGGCCAACACCAAGCCTGACCGCCTTTGTCTCCCCAGTGGCGATGTTTACACATGACACCAGGTACTCATTTGAGGCTGAGTCGACCTAGGGGAGGCCCAGGACCGGTTCAGATAATCGTCACTGGTGTTGGCCATGAGCGGGAATCAATCTCGGGTCGCTGGGTTTGTAGCCCAGTGTACTAACTGCTACACAACCACTCCTCTCATACATACAAACATACAGACACACAGACAGACAGGTGACCTTTACAGTGACCGTTGCCCACGGCTAGGCGCCGATTACAGGTGCTATAATTGATATCGTACACCGTGCGATATAGTGTACTGCAGTAAGCATTGCCATTTTATACCAATTTTAACGCTTAGAATATACCGCGTAATCTAATTCTTTTAACAATAGTACATGCTATACTAATGACATTGTTAATGGTTTGGTGACACAACAAGGTTGGCATGTACCCGGGTCGTCCATTATTATCGTTTTCCTACGCTCCCACTAAATGCACAAAATGGTGTGTGAGAGTAAATGGATGCAAATTATGAAAATGATTTACACATAATTTGCTTTTATACATTTACGGTAATCTTGATTTGAGGTTTTCGTGACTGCAGGAATCCATACTCTTTGGTTATTTCGGTAAAGTCACGTAGGTAGAAAAATAAAATAAAACCAAAAATAATATATCACGACGTTTCTATCGCAACACAAACGGTCGTCCAGCAGTATAACTGCTGAACCAGCGAGAGAGCTGTTACAACAAGGTTATATATGTGGCAATGGGAAAGCAAGCGGGGTCTGAGCTGGAAAGGAATTCCATCCCCGGATGCAAGCACGTCAGTTGTATTAATGAGGGAGATGAGGAAGAGAGAGATTAGGGAGAGAAATTAGCATGAAATGAGCTTCCGTCGCCGCATAAGAGTATCATCCCCACATATGCACAACAGCAGTGTCCCATTAACACATTTCGTTAAACTTCCTGCCCGTGGGCAATAACGGTCGCCATACCCTGGCTTTCCAGGAGACGGCAGGGCAGCAAGTGGATTATTTTCCATCGGTTTCTATTTGTGTAGGGGATGGAGTTTTACCCTCTGCGTATGCGTGGGTTTTCTCCGGGTGCTCTGGTTTCCTCTCTTGTGTATAAATGCTCATTAAATTGGCTGAAATCATCTTCATATACAGAGGATCGCAGAGCTTGGGTAATTGTTGGTAGTTTTGGCTGCTGCCGTCCCACTCGTCTGTGGTTCCTCATGCCTCCGGGTCGTTCTCTCTCTTCGGGAGTGAGCAAATACGATGCGATTTACAAGCCTATGTTAGGAATGGTTATTGTACAACAGAGCATAAGCATTTTCGATGGTCTTACAGGTTGTGTTTCCCCGTTTCCTCGTCTGAGATCGGCTGTGCTCTGCTCCACGCGGAGCTGACTTGGGAAATCCGAATTTTCTGCATCTCTTGCTCCTCACTGCACAGAACAAGGGAGGTATGGCCATGGCAAGTGCACACACTCAATCTCTCACGACATCTGTCTGATAATCACTTTTCATTCATGTTTCACGAAAACATATTCTTATGGTTAAACAGCAAGAAGTTCACTGAGAATGTTCACATGGCAGACTTTAATGAACTTTAAGAGGTTTCCCTCAAGGGAAAACCTTTGGTCCATTACACAGTACTGTACATGACATTAGTTGAGATTTGCTTAATTAAAGTGTACTTTCTGTATGGATTAAATCTTAAGTTCAAATGTCCAAGTGTTGTAGCATATTTGGACAAGCGTGACATGGCGAGCCTCCACTGGCAGCCCTCAATCAATGGTTGGAATTCCATTTGATTATGGCAGGGGCCAGGACCTCTGTAGAAAAACCGCAATAGATGATGATGTATTTCAATGTAAGCAACGACAGCAGTCAGCAGAATGACATCATCAGTGAATTCCATGTGAGGGAGGTGATGACCATGTTGATTCTGGCAGGTGACCTGGCACGGAGGTCCAGGGAAGAACCGATGATATCAATAACCGCATTGCCTAAGACAGGTGTACAGTCTACACTAGACAGTATAAACTACTGTAATACTACTGCTGTAATAATTTATTGTTGTTATTTATCCCAACCCCTCTTGATTAGCAAATAGTTTTCCAATTGTGCTATCGGCATGAGGCCATGTGCGTGCGTTCCTAGTTCTGGGAGAGCAGTGCATCACATCTTAACTGAGAGAGGCCTGCAGAAGGTGATGTCGTAGAACTACTTCTGAGGATCCTTCAATCGATCATTTATCCACACCATGGGTACTGCATCCTCGCATATGTCCTTTGCCATGGAGATATTGCATGGTAACCAAGTCGTTTGCTTATTTCACAAAAAAACATAATTTTTCCCAAATTAAGTAAAATTCTATATATTTAGAGAACCAAAAAATGTCTGTACAAAAGTTGCAAAAAGCTGTCACTAAACTTATTTATTAGTAAACTTTTTTTTAATCCAGGAAAGTCTTAAGACTCTTTTTTCAGGAGGGTCCTGCCAAATTTTGGCAATAGTGGGTGATGTTGCTGCTGTGTGTCATCCCAATTGAATAATTTGAAAGCAATTTTTCAGCATTGGAATGTTTGGCCAATACAAGTTATACTCTTTGATTCTTTCTGTAAAGTCACTTAAGTGACGTAAGTGACTTTACCTACGTGACTTTACCGAAAGAATCAAAGAGTATGGATTCCTGCAGTCACGAAAGCTTCAAATCAATACCAGTTATGTTGTAGAGGCGGTCCTTACTTTTACGACGTTACAATACGTTCCTGGAAACCCCGTTGTACATTGGAATGTCGTAAATTGGACCCTATTTTAACATATATGTAGTAACATCGGGGATGTCACTGTATGGTGCCGGCAAGGCTTGGCGAGCACTGGGATAGTGTGGGCACCATGTACAGCGTGTGGTGGGGGCTCCCACGAGGGGGAGTGCGTGAGCATCAGCCCAGGGGCAGGGTTGGTTGACCCCGTAGACACGTGATCCGGAGTGTCCACACAAGGGGCCCCAGGTGGGGGGGCTAGTGGGTGATTACGTGTCCGGGGCGTGTAGTTAGCCAAGTTGTATCTGGTAAAGGGGCAGTTACCCCTTTGTGTTACAGTGTCACAATAAATGTGTTGCCTCTAAAAGGAACAACGTCTGCGATTCAGTTGGACTCACTATATGTATACTCAAGGGTTTAATAGGTACAAATCCACGAAAACACTTGAGAATAACAAAAGCTCCACTCCAATGTCGGAAACCAGACTGACTCTGTTCGAATGTGTTTGGAATCGTGTTGGAAGATGCAGCGTAAATCAAGTATCTGCGTCGTAAATTGATCCATGGTGACATTAAATAAACGTCGTAAATGTGGATCGTTGTAAACCTGAGACTGCCTGTATTAAGCGGTTTTTTTCAGTTCTGGGAGAAAACTGGAGAACCCTGAAGAAACCCATGCAGAACAGGGGGGAGAACACAGAAGACGCCAGTTGTAAATCAAACACAGGCATTTCTTACTGTGAGACATGTGTTACCACTGCACCACCTTGCTGCCGCTGTGGGTGTACATGTGTGGGCACTGGCTAAAGTACCTGCCTGGATATTTTGTACCATCGGACACTCTACCCCCACAACTCCCAATTGGTGATAGGGCAGTTGTGGAGAAAGTGGAGAGTTTCCCATACCTGGGCAGTGTGCTCATGACCGGTTCCGGTTTAACAGCAGAGGTCTCACTCCGAATCAATCGAGCGAAAATATCTTTTCATCGGTTGCGTAACGCTGTGTGGAAGCTACCTGGTCTGTCACTCCGCACGAAGCTTCGGATCTTCTCAGCCACAGTTATTCCCTCCCTTCTCTATGCTTGCGAAACGTGGACCCCCGAATGGAACATCTTCGCCGGTTTGAAACTTTTAGGCTGTCCTGCCTACGATCCATCCTGGATTTAACCAGGCTGGATTGTGTGAGGAGCTCACAAATCCTTGAAAAGTCCCATCGGTGAGCTCCTCCGGCAGGCAAGGCTGCGTTGACTGGGTCATGTAGCCCGCATGCCCAGCCACCCCATTCCTAAACAGCTTTTGTTCGGCCGGACAGAGGGGGCTGAACGGACGCAGCATGGGCTAGAGAAGAGATGGAGTGATGGAGGAGGATGTGGAGCTGAGTGGACTTGCCGATGACTGGTACCAGTGGTGTCAAGATCGGCCTCTGTGGAGGAGGCTCGTGGTGACGTCACCGCCACTTAGTGGCGAATGGCGGTTGTTGTTGCACTGGCTAAAGTACCCACCTGAATGTGATGATACGAGTGTAGATGAGCAATGGGAAGATAATGCACAGAATGACTCTCCAGGTCTTCAGGTCCACAGACATGCCACCCCACCAGATCTGGGTAAGCAGGGCCTGAGAAAGAGATACAGTCAGTGCACTCCTGCCACACTCATGCACACGTCCACACGCACACGTGTTTGCCACAAAGTAAACGCGTGTTTTAGACGTGGAGGGTGATCGGAGAGTCTATGGCCCCCATTCCATCGCAGTGGTACCGTGATCGGAGGTGAGCCAGAGCACGTTGGAGTGCTTTTGAAAAATGTAAATCTGATAACGAAAAGCATGAATTGTAAATGCGTGCATATGGTGCATGTTTTCGATTTTAATCAACCGTTGATTATTTAAAATGAGTGTGAATGGGCGCGACAGTGGTGAGGCGTTAACTACCTCGCCTGGTATACAGGAGGGAGTGGGTTTGATCCCGACCCTGACGCCTGTATATTTGGAATTTGCATGCTCTCCCCGTGGTCGTGTGGATTTTTCTCTAGGCCCTCCGGTTTTTCTCTCCACATTCAGAATGTTTGTTAAAGAGTATTTGGCTGCTATAAGTTTCCACATGATAAACCACTTCGTTGAGCTATCCTTTGTGGACAGGTTGCTTCTGAAAAAGAGCTGTATAGCTCAGTGGGCCTTACCTGGTAAAATAAAAAGTTTAAATGTCTTTTTGGCCCTGCTAAGTTCACTCTCCTTAGCGGCAGGCCACAGTTGTTATGGTGGCCGCCCACACAGCAGCTTGTCTGCCCCCCCCGCCCCCCAAATCGAGAGGAGCTGGAGCCATGCCTGAAAACGCATGTTGCATAATTAATTTTGGATGCGGCCGGTCTTGCTTCCAACAATCATAGCTATCGGAGCCCTCCAGAGAAGGAAATTATTGGAAGTGCACGGCGGCCGACTCCCTTGCCCCGTGACAATGGCTCAGTGCATGGCGCTGGGTACCTGCACTCCACTGTGGGAGAAGAAGCTCTTGTTGTTGGCGTGGTAGGCCATGCTGAGGCACGTCGCGCCGCCCCACGAGTGGAGCTGGCGAATCAGCAGCTTCTGCGCCCGCAGCTCATCGTCCTTGTAGCACTCGTCCAACAATCCTGCTTGGCCGCCGCAGCCGCCATCACAAACGCCACACACGCGTGTCGAGCACACGGCACGCGAGTCGACGCCGTTTGGTTTCATTTTCAAAGCAGCGTCTGATCGTGGGATGATCTTAGACGGCGGGAGTGCACTGTGACACGGATGCAATGGCTGTGGCTATAGCGCAAGATTCGTGCACTCGATTAAGAGAGAGACGTGCGGTATTGTACCGCGCACATGTTCCCTGTGCTGCCCGAGACAACCCAGCTGCCCGTGTGCTGCTGCTTTACGAAAAGCACCACCAGAGAATACAAAAGTCAGATCTTATAATCTTTATTTATCTTTATTTATCATGGAAAAATCGGATGAGCTATGAAGCTATTTTTCACCCAAAACTGATTTTTGTGTTTCCTTCCCCGCACCTCCCATGAGCACGGTTGGCTACGTACTGTGTGAAAGAAGTTCAAAATACATGCATATGATATATCGTGGGATAGGGGGCGGCCACGTTTTCTCAACACTTTGAGTTGGTGGTCTCAATGATAAAATGGCCACAAGTGCAGTTCTTTTGAGCCTGGTGGTCTAGATAAAGGCAGGGTGGGGCGCTGTGCATGCTTGTGTGAGATCCGGCGCACCAATGGCGAGCTGCTCGTAGTTGTCAGCCTGAGCCAGCATGTCGCTCGTCCGGTCCGAGTCGTCCTCCTCTTGCACCATGGCCTTCAGCAGCTTGCTCGCCATTAACGCCGCAGCCATGCAGTCCTTGCCCTGCCGGGAATAACACCGCTGCTCGTCAGGGCACCATCATCTAGACCACCAACTCAAAATAACTGCATGTGCGGCCATTTTGTCATTTTACCCGCCGTCAACATTTCTCTGCTTCTAAATGTCATACGAGTGATTGGTTTATTTACTTTAGGTACAATAAAGGCTTCAGTAATCACGCATCGGTCTATCACTCATGTGCAAAAGGTAACTTTATTTGTCATGTTTTTTTGTTTAATATGTAAATGATGAGAAAATCCATTACGGTAGAAAAACATAATGCAGCTACAAACAGATTTAACAACACACAGATGTGTGCAGCGCTGCCTGTTCAAAGTTCTCAGCCTTATCCATATATGGCAGCAGCGAAAATGCATGTCTGTACAGTACTGATGAGTTCAAATGAGGATGAAACCGGGCTACAGTTGCGTCTTTGTTTCACCGCTGCCCACTGGAATGACCACACTTCCGCAGCTCTCTGAGATGGTGGTCTAAATGACAAAATTGAAACAGACAGTTCTATCCATCTGTTGGTGTAGACAAGGCTGATGGCTTATGGATACACAATGCTGCAGACCTGTGTGTGTTGTTAAACCGATTTTCTTGTGGAGCATATTCTCTCATGCCTATAGAATCACCACCTTCAGGGTTTTCACACCAGCTCCACTCACTGTGTTGCAAGTAACTGTGCTGCACAGACAAAAGCCAGATGGTGGTGCTGGCTATGCACGCTTGTAATCCAGCACCGTGGAGGCAGCGGCAAGGGTTGGTGGATCGCCACACAATTGTTGTTAAACTCCCTTCCCCGTGCTGATCGAGATGCCATACCCTGACTTGTCAGAAGATAATACAGAAAGTAGACTAATCACCATTTGTACGGGGATCGATCGGTTTTCTCCAGGTGCTCCAATTTCCTCCCACTTGTATAATAAACACAACTGATCAGTAATTGGCTGAAAACATCTTAAAATAAAAACCCAATGCTCTCTTGGATAAATAAGTATATTATTATTTTTACAATGACTTGTTGCTATGGTTAATTATTGTATGCCTGCTTATCCCCACTTCATAATTGCTCATCGCGTGCATTGTACATTTTTTATAATGTTAATTGATCCAAACTTTCTCACACACAATGCCAAGGAATGACATATCATTTATCTGTGATGGAACTGTTACAATTGAGCTAACATGTTTTCTGATTAAGAAAGCGCACTTTTATTTTAGGGGTGCCACGGTGGTGATATTTTATCTTTCTCTCCTGGTTTGCAGGACATTGGGGGTTCGATGCCGACCCTGACATCTGTATATTTGGAGTTTGGATGTTCTCTCCATGGTCACGTATATTTTTTTCTCCGGGTCCTCTGGTTTTTCCCTCCACATTTAGAAACATGCATTTAGACTATTTAGATGATGTTGCTGCTCTCAATGTCCAAATGGCAAGCAACTTTATTGAGCTATCATTTGTGGCAAAGTCGCTTTTGAACAATACCTCAGTGCGCTTTGCCTGGTAGGATGGGGATGGTTTAGGGTTTTGTTTGTTTGTGTTTAGGTGATTTGTTTACCTTTCTTGTACTTTGCACTCCTATCACGTGTTTTTGTGTTGTTTGTTGTTGTTGTAACGTTCTTACCCTCCCCTACTGGACATCTGTGAAAATGAGATTAATAGCGCATCGGATTCCTCCAGTCGAAATAAATATTCTGATTCTGATTCAATGCGTGCCGTTATCTGTGAAATTGTTGTTGGCTAAGGGACCATCCATAAATGATGTCACGCGATTCTGGCCGATTTTTGACCCCCCCCTCGCCCCCTCGTCACACGGCGTCACAAAAAGTCAGACCCCCCTCAAATATGACGTCACAAATCTCCCCCCAAACCATATTTCCATTTTGAAAATAAAACATGCTTCAAATCACTTTAAACTACTGTATTATCATTGCAGTGCGTATTTTATGTGGCGCTGCACTCTGATGTTGTAGAAGAAAACACGTATTAAAAAGGAGGCATTGTAAAGCCGAAATTTAGCATAAAATTCACTTTAAAATATTCAAAGTCTAACTAAAACTACAGATGTTCAGAATATTATATTGAAATTATCTTGTAATTATTCAATATTAAAAGTATTATAACTATAAAAAATACTTGAAACTTTGTAGTAGAACGAAGCAAAATGGAGAATACAATTATAACAATCACATATTCATTCCACAGAATGAAAAGCCCTGGTAGAATAATTAAAATCAAAATGTTTAATAACAATAATTAAAAAAATTTACAAAATTTATGCTTCTCCATTCTGCCATGGAGAAACAAAATGCTCCTTCATGGAATAAATAAAAGGTGACCTTAGTAAATTTAAATAATCAAATAGTTAATGAAAATTCATCTAAATTAGTGTTGTGATAACAATTCTATTTAATTAAGTAGAACGTGTGGTTTATATTTATTTAAAGTTGCGCATTTTGATGTGACGTCACATTTTTCAAACCCCCCTCTCCCCAACTCGTCACACATCGTCACAAATGTCTGACCCCCCCTCCCCCCCTAGGTGCGTTACGTCATTTATGGACGGCACCTAACCGACACACGGACGATACGTATTTGGCTCTCACCTGACTCCAAAAGAAGTTGGCGAGCTCCCTGCGATTCAGCAGCACTGCCCAGATAAAGAGGTCACGCTCAGGGTCAGGGCAGTACAGCTGCCCTTCATTGTATGTTTGTCCTTTGAACTCCAATGACGTCCCACCCTGCCAAACACACGCATTCACATCACACGCTGCTCTTACCCCATACTCTGTGGGGTTAAACATCTGTGCTACATTCGAGTATGATTAAAAATTACTGCGCTCGTTTACTTAGGCACGCCTCACTGAGTCTCAAGACTTTCTTCAGGAGGGTCCTGCCAAGTTTTTCGCAGATGGGGGCGATGTTGCTGTGTGTAATTGACTAATTCCCACTGGAGTAATTTGCAGGAAAATGTTCATCCAGTTGGATGTTTTGGCCGACACCAGTTTACAACATACACATCACAAGCCACATATGGACACCTTTCAATGTACATCTGTGACAAAGAGCTTGACAGCTCTTCGGATTCCTCCAGTCGAAATACAAAGTTCTGATTCTGATTCTGACCTTGGTGGAGCCTGTGTTCTTGCTGCTGGGCGACAGTTTGGAGAATCTGGACATCTTGTTCCCGTACAACATGGAGGTGCTGTCGCCGAGCAGCTCGCGGATCAGCAAGGAGATGTGGTACAAACTAAAGTGGTTCATTCGCTTTGGCGCCATGGGCAGCGTGGAGATCCATCTCCTGTGTGGATCCGCGGGGGATTTCTCGCCCTCGGAAATGCGCCTCAGCAGAATGTGCAGCAGGGAGGAGGCGGGAGCCCCGTTGTAGAGGGACTCGAGGCGGGCCCAGGTGAGGTACTCCCTCAGGATCAGGCCATGCTCCACAAAGAGGGAAATAAACTCGGGCCGGTTCTCCAGCAGGGCAGCATCCATGACCTGCTCCAGGTCGCCTGTCTAGCACGGGGAGACGTGGCGTGACACGAAACTCAAATTGGAACTTCGCGGCCCATTCGATCGCGTGGCTTGTTTGACTATACTTTGTATGTACGTACGTATGTTGAACTTTTTTCGCACCGTGCGTAGAAAAACATGCTAGTCAGAGATTAGCACGCTGGCCTGTGTGGGTTGAAGTGTGGGGTCCCAGGACTGGCCCAGGTTATGTTTTATTATTATTAGTATTGCACTTGTTTACGCACACAAAGTCTCACTTGAGTCTCAACACTGTTTTTTTTCATAAGGGCCCTGTCAAGTTTTTCACAGCGTTGCTATGCGTAGTCCCACTTGAGTAATTTGCAGGTAATAGCTGATACCAGTAACATTGTGTTATTTAAGCTATGGGAGGAAACTGGAGAAAACCCATCCAGAATAAGGTGATAACATACAAACTCCACACAGAACAGCACCGGAGTTGGGAACAAACCCCAGGGCCTTTTTTGTCCCGAGGCACGAATGTCACCACCTCACCACCGCGCTGCTGCCAAAATTTCACTCGCCGCTGACATTATCCTAGGCCAGGAGTCAACCTCGGGCCACCAGGGGTCATCGGGGTAGTGTGCGGGAATCCTTCCATCACGCAATGTCCTGCACGTAACCACACCGTGGCTGCAGTGTGAGGGAGGTAGCGATGTTTTTTCCACCAGTATTGGGATCCGCGAACTGATGGAGCATGACCGTCGTGGCCCCGTGGTCGCGTGCTCGGTCGTTGTGAAGCATCCCGATGCAAGGCAATGTCCCGAGGCTGTCACATTTCGTTTACCTGCCATTTGCGGTCGTCGGTAAAAATCTCGCTGGTTGCAATGTCCACACGGTTCCAGGCCAAAGCTAGTCGCAGTTGGTGGTCACAGCTCTCCTGGGCTTTGTTGGCTTCACCTCTGCTGGCTGAGATGCAAACCACGACCATGGCGCAAGCGTACGTACCAGTCAGTAAAGCTCAACAACACATTCGTCAACAACACCGTGGCCTGAAAAAATAGGAAAATACATATATATACAGTTAGACCTCGCTTAGCGTGACCCCGTTGAAAGCCGATTCGTTATGGAGCTCTTCGGCCTCGATATAATTCGTCCCAAAAATATTAACCAAATTAAAACATCAAAATAAGTGAGTGAAATCATGCACTGGCACTGGCCGAGGAAACGCACCCGCCCCGGTCATTCGCTCAGCCAATGAGAGCGACGAACGCTCTCAGCCAACCAGATCCCACCTCCCACAATTTGATCATCACGATTCGTAGTCTTGATTAAAACAATTTTAATCTATAGATTTTTTTCAATGTTAATAGCCAGGTGAAAACTCACGAGACCAGGATAGTCGCAAGGCTCCACCGAAAATAAACCTCACTACAGACATTTAGACTGAGGGCATCACTAAGACGCTGCCTTGTAGGAGTACAGTAGAATGCACTCATGAGTACAGTGCATAATACTTACTGATATAATAATTTATTGTATTTATTTAAAAAAATTACCACCTGTATTATTATCGGTGGTTATTGCGGATACCCCCAATGAAGCCCTCATATTGCTAACACAAAATAAATAACACTGGAATTCATCTCCATGTAAATAACACTGGAATTCATCTCCATGGAGGTCGCGGTGGCGGGGAGGAGGCCGCGATACACTCACACATCATACTCTTACTAACATTGACTCACTCACACATCATACTCTTACTAACATTGACTCACTCACACATCATACTCTTACTAACATTGACTCACACATCATACTCTTACTAACATTGACTCACTCACACATCATACTCTTACTAACATTGACTCACTCACACATCATACACTCACTACCATTGACACACTCACACATCATACTCTTACTAACATTGACTCACTCACACATCTTACACTCACTACCATTGACTCACTCACACATCATACTCTTACTAACATTGACTCACTCGCACATCATACACTCACTAACATTGACTCACTCACACATCATACTCTTACTAACATTGACTCACTCACACATCATACTCTTACTAACATTGACTCACTCACACATCTTACACTCACTAACATTGACTCACTCACACATCATACTCTTACTAACATTGACTCACTCACACATCATACTCTTACTAACATTGACTCACTCACACATCATACTCTTACTAACATTGACTCACACATCATACTCTTACTAACATTGACTCACTCACACATCATACTCTCACTATCACTGACTCACTCACACATCATACCCTCACTACCACTGACTCACTCACACATCATACTCTCACTACCACTGACTCACTCACTCATCTTACACTCACTAACATTGACTCACTCACACATCATACTCTTACTAACATTGACTCACTCACACATCATACTCTCACTACCATTGACTCACTCACACATCATACACTCACTACCATTGACTCACTCATCTTACTCTCACTACCATTGACTCACTCATCATACTCTTACTAACATTGACTCACTCACACATCATACACTCACTACCATTGACTCACTCACACATCTTACCCTCACTACCACTGACTCACTCACACATCATACTCTTACTAACATTGACTCACTCACACATCATACTCTTACTAACATTGACTCACACATCATACTCTTACTAACATTGACTCACACATCATACTCTTACTAACATTGACTCACTCACACATCATACTCTTACTAACATTGACTCACTCACACATCATACTCTTACTAACATTGACTCACTCACACATCATACTCTTACTAACATTGACTCACTCACACATCATACTCTTACTAACATTGACTCACTCACACATCATACTCTCACTACCATTGACTCACTCACACATCATACACTCACTAACATTGACTCACACATCATACACTCACTACCATTGACTCACTCACACATCATACTCTCACTACCATTGACTCACTCACACATCATACACTCACTACCATTGACTCACTCATCTTACTCTCACTACCATTGACTCACTCATCATACTCTTACTAACATTGACTCACTCACACATACACTCACTACCATTGACTCACTCACACATCTTACTCTCACTACCATTGACTCACTCACTCATCATACTCTCACTACCATTGACTCACTCACACATCATACACTCACTACCATTGACTCACTCACACATCATACTCTTACTAACATTGACTCACTCATACACTCACTACCATTGACTCACTCACACATCTTACACTCACTACCATTGACTCACTCATCATACTCTCACTACCATTGACTCACTCACACATCATACACTCACTACCATTGACTCACTCACACATCATACTCTTACTACCATTGACTCACTCACACATCATACACTCACTACCATTGACTCACTCACACATCATACTCTTACTAACATTGACTCACTCATCATACACTCACTACCATTGACTCACTCACACATCATACTCTCACTACCATTGACTCACTCACACATCATACACTCACTACCATTGACTCACACATCATACTCTCACTACCATTGACTCACTCACACATCTTACTCTCACTACCATTGACTCACTCACACATCATACACTCACTACCATTGACTCACTCACACATCATACACTCACTACCATTGACTCACTCACACATCATACTCTTACTAACATTGACTCACTCATACACTCACTACCATTGACTCACTCACACATCTTACTCTCACTACCATTGACTCACTCACTCATCATACTCTCACTACCATTGACTCACTCACACATCATACACTCACTACCATTGACTCACTCACACATCATACTCTTACTACCATTGACTCACTCACACATCATACACTCACTACCATTGACTCACTCACACATCATACTCTTACTACCATTGACTCACTCATCATACACTCACTACCATTGACTCACTCACACATCATACTCTCACTACCATTGACTCACTCACACATCATACACTCACTACCATTGACTCACACATCATACTCTCACTACCATTGACTCACTCACACATCTTACTCTCACTACCATTGACTCACTCACACATCATACACTCACTACCATTGACTCACTCACACATCATACACTCACTACCATTGACTCACTCACACATCATACTCTTACTAACATTGACTCACTCATACACTCACTACCATTGACTCACTCACACATCTTACTCTCACTACCATTGACTCACTCACTCATCATACTCTCACTACCATTGACTCACTCACACATCATACACTCACTACCATTGACTCACTCACACATCATACTCTTACTACCATTGACTCACTCACACATCATACACTCACTACCATTGACTCACTCACACATCATACTCTTACTAACATTGACTCACTCATACACTCACTACCATTGACTCACTCACACATCTTACTCTCACTACCATTGACTCACTCACTCATCATACTCTCACTACCATTGACTCACTCACACATCATACACTCACTACCATTGACTCACTCACACATCATACTCTTACTACCATTGACTCACTCACACATCATACACTCACTACCATTGACTCACTCACACATCATACTCTTACTAACATTGACTCACTCATACACTCACTACCATTGACTCACTCACACATCATACTCTTACTAACATTGACTCACTCACACATCATACACTCACTACCATTGACTCACTCACACATCATACACTCACTACCATTGACTCACTCACACATCATACACTCACTAACATTTACTCACTCACACATCATACTCTTACTAACATTGACTCACTCACACATCATACACTCACTACCATTGACTCACTCACACATCATACACTCACTACCATTGACTCACTCACACATCATACTCTTACTACCATTGACTCACTCTCACATCATACTCTCACTACCATTGACTCACTCATCATACACTCACTACCATTGACTCACTCACACATCATACTCTCACTACCATTGACTCACTCACACATCATACACTCACTACCATTGACTCACACATCATACTCTCACTACCATTGACTCACTCACACATCTTACTCTCACTACCATTGACTCACTCACACATCATACACTCACTACCATTGACTCACTCACACATCATACACTCACTACCATTGACTCACACATCTTACTCTCACTACCATTGACTCACTCACACATCATACACTCACTACCATTGACTCACACATCTTACACTCACTACCATTGACTCACTCACACATCATACTCTCACTACCATTGACTCACTCACTCATCATACTCTCACTACCATTGACTCACTCACACATCATACTCTCACTACCATTGACTCACTCACACATCATACACTCACTACCATTGACTCAATCACACATCATACACTCACTAACATTGACTCACTCACTCATCTTACACTCACTACCATTGACTCACTCACTCATCATACTCTCACTACCATTGACTCACTCACACATCATACACTCACTACCATTGACTCACTCACACATCATACTCTTACTACCATTGACTCACTCACACATCATACACTCACTACCATTGACTCACTCACACATCATACTCTTACTAACATTGACTCACTCATACACTCACTACCATTGACTCACTCACACATCATACTCTTACTAACATTGACTCACACATCATACACTCACTACCATTGACTCACTCTCACATCATACTCTCACTACCATTGACTCACTCATCATACACTCACTACCATTGACTCACTCACACATCATACACTCACTACCATTGACTCACACATCATACTCTCACTACCATTGACTCACTCACACATCTTACTCTCACTACCATTGACTCACTCACACATCATACACTCACTACCATTGACTCACTCACACATCATACACTCACTACCATTG